AATGAGGCGCAACGGCAGCTATCCCGAAGGCGATAACCTCATTCTCGGATACTCCAACCCAGGCCTCATGCGCGCCCTCACGGTCGGCTGGATCGGCGCCCGCCGCCGCAACGCAACCTTCACCAACTTTGCAAACACCCAAGGATCTCAGCTGCTGGAGCTCTTCAAGTCAAATGGCTCAAACACCCTTGGTGAGTACAACGCGCCAAACTACTATGGCATGGACATCTGGGCTCTGGCCGCCAACATCGCCTACGGCCCGCGCAACGCGACCCTGACAGAGAACGCCGAGTACATCCTCACGAAGCTGTGGGATGACATTGCAGCGCATTACAACCCCTACCTCGGCAACCTTGTCGGGCCTTATGACCGCGCTTACACCCGCGACATGACCAAGCACTCATCCATTCTGCCCATGTACTGGTGGGCCGTCTTCGGGCGCGAGTACGGGCCCCAGCCGCCCAAGGGCGAAGGCGATTTGCTGTTCGATGCGGCACAGGGCGCGGCGATTGCACTGGTTTCCGATACAGTGGCCCGGCACATCTCCAACGGCACCGCGGCGGCGCTGAAGGCGAAAGGTCCCTGGGCCGGCGAGCGTAGCATCACGCGCGAGGTCAAGGAGGAGCTGGATTCGGACGCCACGCGCACGACGACGTCCTGGGTTAGCGCGCCGCTCATGATCGGGGGACAGGAGCTCGCGGAGACCAAGAACCGCGGGAATCAGTTCGTGCCGGCGATCGTGCACTGGGCTTCGGACCCGTCGCACACGCCGTACCCCTACATCGGGTTTTTCTTGCTGTACCCTTCGGCGTCGACAATCTCGGCTGTGGCGGGAGAGAGGTCCCTCAGCGTATCATACCCGAACAGCACGCAGGAAGGGTCCGATATTTTCACGTTCGCGCTGTCTGGGATTCCGCCTTCGTGGACGCTGGGCGGGAAGACGATTACCGGATTGGAAGAACTGCCGTGTCTGAGCGTCAATGTCTCGGCGCCGGGGTTGGACAAGTTGCCGATTTCTTACGGGCAACAGTTGAGGAACCACTGGTATTATAATGTGTCGTACGCGGTTCCGGCTGGATTCAAGGGCATTCCCCGGGTTGATCTGAAGATGGAGTATACCTGTGAAATCTAAGTAGCCTAAAGTAGGAGTCTTCGGTCCCTTGGCCGGAGGAATACCTAGTAGCAGTTTCGAGCACATGATGCGATTTACTCCAGCTGATCGACCGGGCAGAAAGTCCCCTGCCTTATGGCCACTTCGCAGAGGCGGTCGGACTTGCGGCTGGATCTTTGTCACAGCCATTGACAAGCGGTAATATTTCATAGGGCAGACATAAGGAAAATGGACCTGGGGCGTTGTCACGTTTATATCTACCATGAACGCGGGATGCGTACCCGTAGCATGTGAACGTGTCTGAACGGGGACATAACTTTGTGTCACCCGGGCTGCATCATGCCAATCTTCTCGTCGACTAAGTGATTCTGCCACTCATAAAAGTTCTGATGCAGAACTAAAGTCAATTGATGTCATTTGGGGATTTGACTTTGATGGAATGCGCGCTAGAAGCCACGGTAGCAACGCTCCGTCGGTGCTTCGGGGCCATCCGTTCTTTTGGTTTAAGGCTTCAGCCTCTGGAGTGAGGCTCGGTCTTCACTCTTCAGTCATATTCGCCGTCAATGTCACTCTGAGAGTTCCATGATGAGAGCAATGTTTGGGTTCTCAGGCCGAGATTTGCCCTCGTTTGCTTTGGGTTGATTTGATTTTCCTACCTCGACTCACCGCCGATTCGTATCGATAGCTATATTAGTCTCATCTTGAGCTAAAATTTGCCCTGTGAGACCCTGGCCAAGGCGCCCCTTGTTAGTTTCAGATTGAGTAAGCCAGATTCAGGTCACTGGCTTCGGAAAACCCAACCGAAAACGATTGGGAGCTCTCTCCTCCTGTTCTCTGAAGACCTGAGAGTCATCTGGATTGCTCAAGAGACTTGTGAACCAGTACAAGAGTCTAGGAGTTGGCAGTTGTTCGCTTATCAAAGGATGGAATCTCAATGGTCCAAAGGGAAAACATGGCAGCAGGGGAACGAGAGGAAGCGCACCCCGACGGCGCCGATTAACCGCAGCAGATCCCTGGAAACATCTCCACTATTTGTCTCAGTTTGGCGTCTCGTCTCCCTCAAGAGAAAAAGAAGCTTTGACGCTCGTGTCGCAGAGGAGGCAAAGGACTGGAAAAGCGGCAGAGCGAGGCGAGGAACTCGAAAAGCGTGGCATTGGAGGGGACAGCAAACACGGTCGCTCCCCCTCCTGAGCATAGCGCGCCCCTCCGATCCTTCCGATCATCGTACTAATTTCCACCCTTGAAGAAGCTCCTATTGAGGCTTTTGGGTGTCCCATTTTGTGATTTGGGAGGCGTTCGTTGATGGCGGCCTTTTCCTCTTTGTGGTTCTTGAAAGTCTAAAGTTCGACCACGTCGCCTGTGCTCCGTTAAGCGCCGGCCGTCACTCTGTCTTCCTTTGTTTCTCTGCTGCCTGTTCGGGATCTTCCCACCCCCTGAGAGCTGAGAGGGAAGAAAACACAGCCTTACTTTTCCTCACTCGTCAACTGTCAGCAACTCTCTATCGACTTTCAATTCAGAACCCTTTACTTTACTTTACTCACTCACTCGCACATACGTACTCACATGTACTTATGAACTGACTCGGTAAACGCCTGATCTCTGAGAGAACGCGTTCCCCGACGTTGAAGGGGAGAAACGCGGCGAGAGGGCTAAGGGAGGGATCGGTGAAGGTTGAATCAGAATGGGCGCCGGCGATGGTCCCCGACGCGGGGACCGCCCGTTCAAGGACATGGACGACGACTTTGACGCGTCGTCGCGCCGGAGCGCCGACGAGGAGGCCCAGTTCCTAGCCGAAGGAGAAGAAGGCTACGAGCTCGAGGAGAGCACATCCAGCACGCCCTCGCTGTTCTCGCAGCAAAAGTTCGGCCCTCACGTCCCCCACAAGCGGCACTGCCTCGCAGGGCCCCAGCCGCCGCGTGTACACACCATCCGGCCCTTCCTGCCTGCCATTCAGGAAGCGCCGGCGCGCCTGCTCGACCTCGTGGCGCCGACTACACGCCGGAAGGCCGTTGTCGTCGCCGTGTTCCTGGCGCTGTGGGCCGTTGCTTTCTCCATTCCCCTCGCGTCGTCCCGGGCGATCAGGGATGAGCTCGGTAGGGACGTCATCAACCTCGACTGCGGCGACACCCTCTGGCGCTTCAAGAACGGGTGCGGCCTCGACGGCGCCGACTGCCGGCCTTTCACGAATTCTTCATTTTCCTTCAGGTGTCCGGCGAACTGCATGGCTCACAAGCTCTTGAACCCGCATGCCGTCGGTGACCGAGAGATCGTCTACCAGCCGTTGGTCGTAGGCGATGAGATCTACCGCGGCGACTCCATGATCTGCGCCTCGGCGATCCACGCAGGCATCGTGACGGACCTCAGCGGAGGCTGCGGCCGTCTCCATCGCCTCGGCCAGCAGGAAGAGTTCAATAGAACGACAAAGAACGGCGTCGAGACAGTCCCCTTTGACTCGTACTTCCCGCTGTCGTATAACCTCACCGCAGACCCGACCCTCCAGTGCGGCAAGCGTGACCCTCGCCAAGCTCTTCTCCCGACATCCATGTTCTTCACCTCTATCTTCTCCCTCTTCACGACGAGCCCCGCTTGCCAGTTCTTCGTCTCCTTTATCGGCATTTTTGCCCATGTCAGCTTCGGCTCCGATCCGCCTACCGCATCGCGGCACGCTGCCTCCGTCCTACCGGATCGCATCTCCAAGTTCACTGGCCGCCTGCTCCCGGCACTCTTTTGCGCCGCCGTGCTCTACCGGCTTTGCGTCAGACGAACCCTCATGGATCTAAGGGCACAATTCGAGAAGACGGCGCTCTGGTTGGGAGGGTTCTGGTTTGGCGCGCTGTCAAACTACACCTTCGGATGGATGCCGATCCAGCGCCTCACGGCACACGACATTGAGCACCAGCCCGGTGCCAAGCCCGCGCTGGCTCTCATCTTGATCATTCTGACCTTCGTCATGGCCAAGCAGGTGTACTTCTTCTGGCTCGAGGGTAGACTACCCCGATTCTTGGCGCTGTACGCGCTTTTCCTGGCTGCCGTCATCGTCGGCGTCTCCATTCCCGGCGTCGACCTCCGCGTGCACCACTACATCATGGCGTTCTGTCTGCTCCCTGGCACCAGCATGCAGACGCGGACATCTCTCTTCTACCAAGGGATGTTGCTGGGCCTCTTCGTCAACGGCATCGCTCGCTGGGGCTTCGACTCGGTCCTACAGACGCCCGATGAGCTGCGCGAGGATGGCCCCTTCAACTCACTGCTCCCGCAGATTGCGAAGCCGATCTTCTCCACAGGCTCCTTTGAGCCCAGTGTGACCTTTAGCTGGCTTGTGCCGCCAAACATCGCCACCGAGTTCGACGGTATCAGCGCCCTGGTCAACGATGTCGAGCGGTTCCGGTATTACTTTGCCAATGGCCCCGACGACAACGAGTTTGTGTGGCTAAGGAAGGCCAAGATGGTGCTTCCCGAGTACTTTAGATTTGCATACATGAAGGATGGTGTGACGTTAGACTATACACAGGCCGGGACGTGGTTCTCGAACGGGTCGTGGGTGATGCCCTCATAGTAGACTTCAGCATAACATTTGCATGATCGGATAGAATGGACGGGGCGTTTAGTTGTGGCTATTTTGTTTTTGGGCAGCGACATGGATCCTACAAGATAATCAATCACATTATGACGAGCATCTCTAAAACTGATCATTGGCTAAGACAATGGTTTGCCGGTACATGTAAGCACCAGTGACATTATCTTGCATGAAGATCACGCCCGTCTCCGGGGTTTGGAAGCTTACCAAGCGTCTTATCTCTCGACCCATGTGATACACTGCCCGCTAGACTGTCTCGAGATTTATCCCAGAATGGTTTACGAGCGCCCGAGAAGTACTGGTATTAAGATAATTGTTTCGGTCTTTCTCTACCCCGTACATCCATACCAGCGCGGGATGATTGTGTCATTGCGCGCCCCACAAACGCTAATTTAATAACTTGTCGGCTCGAGTATCCTTCCCAAATTCCCAGAGTGTTTCCAAGTGACCGAAGCCGAAGAAGGTTCCAAGAAGCCGGTCGAGTCTGTTCTCCAGACCCGCCGACCGGCGCCAACCGAACACATCCATTTTGAAAGCGACACTCTGACAATCCGGGAGGCATTAGGCTACATGTAAGGTAATTAATAATGACTCACCGTCACGACATTCCTTCAAAGTGCACTTTCTTAACTTAAAGCCAAGCCCCAATTTTCACATTTGGTCTGACAGTAGGACTGGCCAACTTTTCCTTCTTTTTTTCTTTCTCACCTTCATTCAACTCGGATGAAACTTCACCGGCCCATTTAGCACCAAAGAGGCAGTGTCACCACAATGTCGAGAGCCAAAGTTGAATTGATCCCCTGGGATTGCAACTCTTCGGACCACTTCACACGGATGGTAGATCAGAGAATAGCATGCGGTTGGGCCTCGGACCTGGTGCCTCAATGGCAAGAGAACCAGCGAACCGGATTTAAGTGCATATACTGGCTCGTAAGTCTGAACCGTCACAAAGGGGATTCGATTCGAGTTACGAGACCAAATAGTGAGAACCGTTGAGCTTTGCGCGACTCTTCTCAATCCCCTTTCAAGCGTCCAGTCACATTCCTAAGCGTCTACTAACCGCGCTCATAGGTACTCGCGGATGAGGACCCGGAGCGAGACGCAAGACTCGCAAAGCACATCGCCGATTATCCAAAAGTTGGTCCCCTCAAAACCCATTAACCTCTTTCCCTCTTCCGTGCATCAATGCTCACATCTGTCCCAGGAGAAAGACCCCATTCTAGACACAGCAGCCTCGATCAGCGCTACCCCGCGAACCCCGACAGGAGCATCCTTTCACCCCGTCGGCCACATCTCACTCGACATCGACAACCCCGCCGCGGCGCCCCTCAACCTCCCGATCCCCAAAGACCACGTCTACTGGATCAAGAGCCTCTACGTGTCTTTTGCACTGCAGAGCTGCGGCATCGCCAGGGCCGCCATGGACTTGGTTGAGAGCATGGCCACCAGCGAGCCACTATGCGCAAAGACGCTCATGTTGGACACGGTCTCCAAAGAGGACCAGTTGAGAAAGGAGTCCATGGTTGTGGCGCAGGGCAAACTCCCACCGGTGAGTTGATTTTCCTCCTTTGTAATCATTACGAGTTGCCAAAGACTGACATGGTTGGTTCACCCGTCTTACATGTAGACACCGACGCATGCGTGGTATGAAAGGAGAGGCTATAGACTGATCCACACCATCAACAACTTTTACGGGTTCCCGGAAAAGGATCCAGATGGCAACTTGCTCATTCGAAGGACGGTGTTCTTGCGCAGAGATCTCGTCTAGCGTAAACTTGTCTTGTAGAAAACCAGCCTGTAGATAAATCTAACCTCCGACACATATATCTATGGAATAGTAGCAAGATTCAAGTGGTCTTTTCCGTATACCCTGGAGCCCCCTTTCCCTTCATCTGCATGATCGCCTGGCCTCCAGGTTGCCCGCCAATGACGCTCATCTTCATCATCTTCTCGTAAAACGGCACAGACTTATCCCAGCTATCGGTGGCCAGAATGCTTTTCCTCAAGTACGGCATCGGCTCGAGCGTTTCTTGCACGCATCCCACTAGCCATCTTCCCAGGCCGTTGCCCTGCATTGTGGGATCAACCCAGACGTCTGTGACATAAGTGAAGGATATAAAGTCTGTGACAAGACGGGCGAAGCCGACTAAACGGTGGTACTCCTCCGACTCGGCGGCGTTTTCTTGAGCTGTGCCGCTGCCGCTACTGGTGCTGGGTTCTTGTTGAGAAGTGGTCGTGTCGTAGAGGCCGAAGCAGAGGGAGTTTTGCAGCATTTCTTTCAAAATGGGTTCCGGTATAGCTTTGGTCCAGTAGACGGCCTCCGACGCGAATGCAGCGTTGAGTTGGGCGACTGAGATGAGGGATGCATCTGTCGAGATAAGGTACGAGTCTCTCGTCCAGCGGCGGTTCCGCATTTCGGCGCTGATTGAGGTCATGTTCAAGGTATGTGTGTCAAGAAGCTGTTGATGCTGGAGTGCGGGTGGGTAAACTGTAACGATTGCCGCTTGGAGTTGCGCCTTTCGAATGACGAGCTCCACAGTAAGTAGAAGGTGTATCTCCTAAGATTGAACGTATGACGCAAAGTGAACGATGTATGGGATGAATCATGAGAAACACAACCAAGCCAGGGGAAATTTTAGCCTTGTTATATCTGCGTTTGCTATCTAGGGACTTTGGGATGTGACTCAAGTCGGCTCTCGATCCGACTACCGGTATCAACGTCGGAACAAGCCCCCACATTTCAAGATGCTCTTTGGAAACCGCCAATGCAAGCCGAGGCCGAGATGGAGGGGATGCAAGCCGAGAGTTAAAAAAACCATGATCCAACGAAAGTCTGGGGAACATTCTACAGTTTATGCCTACTCGAAAGTGTGACGATTCAAAAAGGTGTCGACGGTGATCGTAGGCCATACCAGAAAATGGCCCGGCGTATCGAGCGTATCTGAGGTCTGCCGTGCCAACCCCTTCTGCCGATCCGAACATGAGAGCGATAAGCGCGACTCAACAAGTTTTACGAATACGAATGCGCGCTTACGATTGTGAATAAATAACTTGATGAGGTAGCACATTTCTCTAAAGTGCTCAAACAGTATAAATCGTCCTACTCCCTGTCGTGGTCGCCATCTCCTTGGGCCATGACCGTTCTCGTGTGGCTTGTCTTCGAAGATTACGTCTTCCTTCTCTGATCTCAAGAGCTTGGTCTCATGGTAAGACTTCTGAAAATGCCACCACACTCGCCGGCCGATCACGATGGCGACGGTCAAAGGTAGGCTGACGGCCCAGTAGATCCAAAACTGCGGCACAACTGTGGGCTCGCCGCCGCCGCTGGTTAAGTCTGATGAGGATGAGGCCTGCCGGTTGAACATTGACATACTGAAGATTATCTGCCTAGGGTGCAATAGTCAGTGTGACCGCTGCTTCATGGAATTATAAGCCAGGGCACTCAAGTGTTGGAATTTACAGCTACAAAGGTCGGAGGAAGGAAGAGCATCGTCACCACTGCCATTGGCTTCATAGCTGTGCTGTCTATTGATACCTCCGAACTTCCTCGTTAACCCGAAGGAGGAATTTGATATATTCTTCGTCCCACTCTGGCGTTCCCAAAAAGCTCACAGCATCCATGATTGTGGTGCTCAGGAGCGCCGTCGTATTAATCCGCGCCTTCTCGTCCGTGATCATGCGGTTCATATTTGTGGTGACGCGGATGTCTTTTGACGGTTCTTTTCACCAGCCGACCGGCCTGAGTGACGCCGAGAGTCTTTTTGATTAGTCTCGTTCAGCTGGCCACTCATGATCTCAGCCTTGGTCAGATGTAGCCGAAGAAAAGTGGTGGGTAGTAACAAGGGGTGGCACAGCAGGCTGCTCGACGTCTTTATCATTTCGTGGATGGCTGTCATATGAGAGATGATCTTATCGCCGCTTATTTTGTTCACGTCAGAAAAGATGTCCCAGCCATGTATCAAAGCCAGTGTTGTGCGGGTCTCGAAGTAGTGTGACATTTTCTTGCCCAGATTGCCGAGTTGAAGCATTTGAGGTCGCTTCATAGTGAGAACAGCAGAGTTCAGTTCCAGTTCAATGTTATCATTGCTCGCGTGTGGGTATCAATCATTTGGTTCACACTCACCGAGTGACTCCAACGACCGAACGCCCTTATATTGCGTGAAGGTCAGATGAGAGTGTTGCTTCCCACCGGCCCAATCCAATATCGCCAAAGATGTAGAGGGCAGTCCGAGTGTTTTTTCCCACTTCCAGGAATGATCCACGCCTCATGGCAAACCATAGAGGTCTGGATTCGAAGCGTTCACAGAGCAACAGCCGGACTCGCGCGGTTCCCTCGCGCTGCCAGTCTGGAGGCGCGAACCTGCCCTTTTGATTGAGCCATTCGGCCACCTCAAAGTCGTCCAAAATCCAGACTTTAGGTAGATATTATTGGAAAGGCCTATGGTGTGGAGGTCAGCGCTGGCCGGCGGTTTGGGCTGTGAGTCGCCGAAGCGAAGGCACTTACCGTCGTCCCAAGCCTCAATGTAACCTATGCTCCCTTTCTCTAGCTCCCATCTTGACCGGTGCTCCAAAATTTGCAGACGTTCTGCATCGAACATTTATAATGATGGAAGTCTGAGATACAATGTTCAGGGCAAATTTCACTCACGTCCGCTGCAGTCAAAATGACGGCGCGCTCCACAGGTATGAGCCTAGGGAGTCGGCGTTGCACGGGGTGATGCGAGTGAGATTTTGGGGTAGGTTTATGCCCTTATTGCTTGCATGGTTATCTACTGCATTTGGTATCTTATATCTGACGAAATGATATTTCTGTATTGGCCTTCGCGAAATCGATGAGTTGATCTTGTCACTTTGTCAACTTTGCAAATTATAAAGACTTCGATATTCATCGCTATGCCTTTTGTTACAGAAGTGGTTAAAGCTGCGGATAGGCATCGGGAAATACATGTGGTCTTCGCGCATGACGGCTGTTAGGATTAATTAAGTGCTTAGCTTTTCATGACGCGCTACTCGAGTCTGTTGCTCCATCGAACCAATATGGCGGAAATCCTCCCTCTCGTTCCTTGTCACGCGAGGAAGTATTCAGCCGGCAAAGCCAGCACACAATACTGCCATGATCCTGTCAAGACACGGAAGGTGGGGGGAAAGACTGACAACAGAGGCGATCTCCAACTCCCCAAGAGCTTCTAAACTAACTTTTGCCTAGGGGATCAGCCAACTCCAAGAAATGTGCCCCTCATAGTGATCACAGGCGGCCCAATGACCACATCAAAGCAAAGATTCAGGCTAAATACATCGTAGAATTGCCGTCTATGAGCGCCCCGGACCCCTGTACCGTCGTACTACCGTGCGGAGAAACGCGGGGTGCGGAGTGCCTGGAGTCTTTTCACCCGAAATTGGACCCCATGGTTCGGTGATTCCCCATCAACAATAGTCGTGCAAAGCCGAGGGATGATGACCTGGTGCGAGGGGTTCGCGGTCTCTTCGTGGAGTCTTTTAGAAATCCGTCGCCGAACGATGGGGCGGAAATACGTCAAGGAAAAGTTTCCTAGCCTGGCCGACGGGATACGAACATGAAGACCACATCATGGCCCGCCATATAAGACTCAGTGGTAGGGCGCGTGATGCTTGTATGGCAATGTCACAGTCACTTCAGAATCGCCCGTCAAGATGATGACGACTTCACGGCGGTCCTCGTTGCCGACGCGAGCCTTCGGGCTGACTCTCCTGAGCCTGTTGCTGCTCATCCTCCACCCCGCGAACGCTCTCACCCTCCAACCCCGGCAGAACACATCCACACCGACCACCGGCGGCCGCGAGCGCGTGAGCATCAACAAGGGATGGCGCTTCTGGCGCTCCGAGTTCAACCCGGACGGCCTGATCTACGACCAGCGCCCGGACCTCGAGAACCTCACCGATACCTTTGCGCTGAAGCCCTGGATTCTTCCGTCAGCAAACGGCTTCATCAATGACCCGACCAAGCACTACGAGCGCCCCGGCAGCGAGCCCTCGCGCAATGTCTCGTATGCCTCGGCGAGCTTTGACGATGGTTCGTGGGAGAGTGTCAACCTGCCTCATGACTGGGCTATCGCGGGCCCGTTCTATACCGAGGAGAACCCCATTATTGGAGGTGGGATGGGCCGCTTGCCTGTGCATGGCGTGGGTTGGTACCGTCGATCGTTGACAGTCACCCCCGAGGATGAGGGCAAATCTATCTTCCTCGATGTGGATGGCGCCATGTCATATGCGATGGTTTGGCTCAATGGCTACCTGGTCGGTGGTTGGCCTTACCCGTACAACTCGTTCCGCCTCGACCTCACGGCACACCTCAAGAGTGGACAAGACAACGTCCTTGCCATCCGACTAGACAACCCTCCAGACTCGGCACGCTGGTATCCTGGAGGTGGCATATACCGCAATGTGTGGCTGACCAAGGTCAACCCTGTCCACGTTGCGCAATGGGGCACCTACATCACCACAAAGGACGTCTCCTCCGAGTCCGCTACCGTAGACTTAGTAGTCGAGATCGAGAATAAGAGCGAATCCGACCAGGACGTTGAAATCTCAACCGAAATTCACCTCCTCGACTCCTCCACAGACAAGCCGGGAGCCAAGGTTGCCGAACTTGCCGGCTCATCAACATCCGTCACGGCGGGCAGCAAAGCCCAAGTCAACGGCTCAACAACCGTCACATCCCCCCTCCTCTGGGGCCCGCCACCAACCCAGAAACCAAACCGATACGTCGCCGTAACAACAGTCACTCTCGCCGGCGCCGTCGTCGACACCTACGAAACCCGCTTCGGCATCCGCACTGTAGCCTACGACGCAAACCGTGGCCTCCTCGTCAACGGCGAACACGTCCTCATCCAAGGCGTAAACAACCACCACGACCTCGGCGCAATCGGCGCAGCCTTCAACACCCGCGCCGCTGAGCGTCAGCTCGAGGTCCTCGAGGAGCTCGGCTGCAACGCCATCCGCATGTCCCACAACCCTCCCGCTCCTGAACTCCTAGAGCTCACGGACAGCCGTGGGTTCCTGGTTATGGACGAGGTATTTGACTCGTGGTACCGCAACAAGACGGCAAACGACTTCCACCTCATCTTTGAAGACTGGCACGAGGCCGATCTGCGTGCCATGATGCGCCGCGATCGCAACCACGCCTCCGTCATCATGTGGAGTTTCGGCAATGAGGTCTCGGAGCAGCAGATTGGCGACCCGGGCACCGTCCCCGCGCTCGAGCTGCACGGCATCGTGGGCGAGGAAGATCCCACCCGGCCATCCACAGCATCCATGAACTTTGCCAAGCCAAACATGTCCTTCCCTACTGCCATGGACGTCCTCAGCTTGAACTACCAGGGCGAAGGCATCCGCGACACGCCAAACTACTCCTTTCTCCCCGGCGTGAGAACGCATCCACTGTACGCCGACTTCCACGAGGCCTTCCCCGACAAGATGATCCTCAGCAGCGAGACGGCCTCAGCACTGAGCACGCGCGGGACGTACATGTTCCCGGTGACGGGCGACACCGGCGCCCCCGTAAACGACACGTCGGGCGGAAACTTCACTTCGCAGCAGGTCAGCGCGTACGAGCTCTACTCTGCCAACTTTGGCTCCTCGCCCGACAAAGTCTTCAAGGCGCAGGACACGCACCCCTATGTCGCAGGCGAGTTCGTCTGGACGGGCTGGGATTACCTCGGCGAGCCGACGCCTTACTACACGGCGCGCAGCTCATACTCTGGCATCATCGACCTCGCAGGTTTCAAGAAGGACCGCTTCTTTTTGTATCAGGCGCGGTGGCGTCCGGATGTCAAGTTTGCGCATGTGCTACCGCACTGGAACTGGCCCGAGGATCGCGTCGGCGAGGTTACTCCCGTGCATGTGTTCACGTCGGCTGACGAGGCGGAGTTATTCGTCAACGGGGTCTCGCAGGGCCGGCAGACGCGCGCAGAGCTGACGTACCGCTTCCGATGGGACGACGTCGTGTACGAGCCCGGTGAGATCCGGGTGGCGACGTATAAAGACGGCGCAGACTGGGCCGAGACTACGGTGCGCACTGTCGGTGCAGCCGCAAAGCTTCGCGCGTCAGCCGACCGTACGACGATCGCTGCCGACGGCGTGGATCTGTCGTTTGTGACTGTCGAGGTGCTGGATGCGAACGGCGATGTGGTGCGGTTTGCAGATGATGAGATTACCTTCTCCGTGAGCGGGCCTGGCAAGATTGTGGCGACTGATAATGGTGACCCGGCGGACTTGGTTGCGTTCCCGTCGTTGGTGCGCAAAGCGTATAGCGGTCTTGTGTTGGCTATTGTGAAGTCTGAGGAGGGTGTTGCGGGAGATATTACCGTGACGGCTTCTGGTGCGGGCCTCGAGGGAGTTGAAGTTGTTGTGAAGACGCAATGAAGTGGCGAGACTTGAGTGTAAATAGTAGTCTAATCTAAGACTATGTGAAGAGATTCTCGTACAAACAACAATCGAAAGCTGTAAAGCCTCGAAGACATTCAATTGATGATTATCTTGTCCGAGAGAGTTTGGTGGTTTGCGCTCGCTCTCGCAAATAAGTCGCCTTGTGCTCCGGGCGTTGCACCCTGGAAGAGCCAAGTAAATGGGCTGCAAAGGCTAACAGAGTGAGAAGATGCATGCCAGGGGCTGCCAGGGTAGCACAAGCAAACGGGATGAACCATAGCTACGAGTCAAGAGTCTTTCGACACAGCTCCCGACTAAGGTTGAGTCGTTGTCTGTCGTTCGAGGTAGAGCCGAAGAAGAAAAAGAAGCTCGAGTTTGAAGGCCAAGATCCAAACGTGTGTCTCCCTGTGTTCGGCTGGCTGTCGATCTTCGCGTGATCTTTAGACTTAGGACCACGTCAGCCACGCCGGTACAGAAAACGGCGCCGGGGAATTAGGTTAAAGGCGGACGGCGGAGCAATACGACCAAAGACGAAAATAGCAGCAGACCACCCCACGTCGAGCGGGTTGGCCGGCAGTAAGATGGCTGCTATCACTGCTTCCACTACTGCTGCTGCTACTGAAGCTGCAACTTTTCACTACGGTCACTATTTTTACTGTTTTCTTCTGTATGTTCCTTCAAAAACATACTTAAGAAAGCGCAGTATGGTAATGACAATAATGCTGGTGGTCATATGAAGGGGTCCGCTCGTGCGTTGGGCGGCATCCTATTCTGTCACCCACTGAACTCCGTGAAAGTCTGGAGGGAATCCCGGCATTGTCGAGATTGACCTTCCCCACTAAGGCTCCCTGCAGCATCCGCCCTTTACGAGGTTGCAAATGATCGCCATAATGCGGGACGATGGGCACATCAAGTAAATAAGCTCTCTCTTTAAAGATGGCACATCCATCGCGTTGGGCCGTTCGTCTGACATCTCCTTTTTTGCTGCACGTTCTGTCAATCGTTTGGATACGTCAGTTTGAGATCCGTTAAAACATGTCGCCCGTCACTCGTTTCTTCTCGGCGGCGGCGGTCGCGTCCGTTGCGACTGCGGCTGTACTTGATCTGCCCATCATTGTTGACAATGGCTACGTGAGTTTCATCTATACTCTTTGGCGATGAAAAGCAATACTGATGCAATCATCACAGAAAGTCGTCGAGTTCGGTATCGGAACCCCAGCCAAAACGTTCCGTCTCCTCTTCGATACGGGAAGCTCGTCTTCATGGGCGACCGATAGCCAATGCCTCGCCAAGGGCAATTGTAACAACGTGAGCGGGTACGTCTATATCGAATCATGACTCCAAGCATGACGATCCATCATGGCCACTGACACATGTAATGATAGATATGACCGGACTGGCTACAGCATCAACGCCTCAACGAGCGGCCACTACACAGGCGAAAGCGCCGTCATCCCTTACCTTGGAGGCGACGTCGCCGGCCCCACGGTCGCCGAGAAATGGACCGTCGGCAACTTCTCCTGGGACCAGTCCTTCATCGCCGCAAACGAGAGCAACTGGGCCGCGCTCGCAGCCGACGGTTTCATGGGCCTAGGCTTCAGCTCCATCATCGACGGTGGCGCAAACACCGTTGTCGAGACCCTCATGTCGGAGGGCCACCTCGACGCCGCCAAGTTCGGAATCTACTACGGCACCGAGGCCAAGAACACGAGCGGCGTCCCCGGAGACGGCGTCTTGACTATCGGCGGCTCCCGCGAGGACGAGTACGTTGACGGCGAACTCGTCACGATCCCCATCACCCGCGTTGACGGCACGTATGACGTCTGGCGGTCCACGATCCTCAAGGTCAACGGCACGCGGACGACGAGCAACGGCAGCATCATTGAGACGCAGACGGATTTCGACCAGGCGCGCGTCGTCTTCGACACGGGCGCGGGGTCAATCACGCTGCCGACGAAGCAGAACCTGGCCGTGTACGAGTCGATTGGTATGAACTACACGAAGATCCTCAAGGGCGAGCACATCCCGCTCTGTAGCGAATTCAACTCATCGTGGTCCTTCAAGTTCTCCTTTGGAGACTATCGGTACCCGCAGGTGATTGAGATCCCGGGCGATCAGTTGGCGAGACCTGGTTTCGCGTACCGGGACGATGCGTGCTGGCCTCCGTTCGAGGATGGCGCTCAGTCTGGATTTGTGTTGATCGGGACGCCATTCTTGAAGAACTTTTACACGGTATGGGATTATGGATCTGCAGCGAATGAGACGCAGATTTGGAAGTTCGACCCCACGTTGTCATTTGGGTACTTGAAGAATAAGACCACTCCGGCGAAGTGAGAAGGATAATGGGTGGGGGATGGAAATGGTATGACAGGACGATAATATAGGATCACAAGGATGGCTCAGATCAGAACCAGAATCTTGGAGTCCATCATAAGCAAAAAAATACCATGCGGTCAAATCTTGGAAATCCTTCAATTTGACAGACCGGGGGTCATGCATCAATGCGATCGTGAGCTGAAGATCTTGGATCGCACGTGGAAGAGGACCAACCAATCCAACTGAGAGACACCCAACCGGACGGATCAGCATCGGGCTCGTCTATTTGACTTTTGATGTGACGTGCCGCACCTTGCAGAAGATGGAAGGTGAGTCTCTATCACAGGGTTATGATTTGGCAGTGACAATTTTGACAAGGACTGGGATGGATGAGTGGATGGGGGTGAGGTGGCCCAGACCTGCTGAGCTGAAAAGAGTGAGCGAGTGAGTAAAATGTGAGTGAGTGGCTGAGAGATTGTGTGTGTGAGTGAGAGAGTGTGAGTGAGCTGTGAGATGAGTGGCCCAGACGCCAAAAGTGCGAGGTGCCGTGCGTCGCTTCCCCAAAAACCCCAAACTCAGCATGACGTCGTCGGTGACGTCTTGGCCGAACTTGCGCTCAGTGCCATTGGCTCAAGGCGAGGACGCACTCGCCACGCGCCCACGCAGCTTTCGCAGCTTCACAGTGAGAAGGTGTGGCTGGGAAAAGCCTGGAACACTTGGGAAGGCGTTGCACATGCACGAAACGCTCAGTCAATCGTCACTGCTCTGCATGGAGTGTCTGGTTGGTCATTCATCAGGTGTATTGAGTATGCCTGTGTGTGTCAGAGAGAGAGAAGGAGGGGGAGGGAAGATGCGGGATATTACTCCTTGAGCACCAGCCGTTCATGTTGGCCATATTCTTCCTTCATGATACCCGTTACCTACGAAACACCTAGCAAATTCCATCCTCTTTCTGTGAAATATTACCTTCCCACAATACCTAGTCGTATCTAAGCCTTTCCTGATTCTCTACTACTGTACCTAGTAGTGATCCATCATGCCTCGGACACTGCTTCTGTGTTTCATCCATGGCTTTAAAGTGAGTAGTCAACAACAGCAAGCCATCGATGCGCCGGCACAGCAAGCAGCTAACAAGTACAAACCTTTCCAGGGGAATGAAAATACATTCTACGATTTTCCAGATGTAAGGCTGCCATCTTTCCTGTGACCATGACTTCCGTACTGACCCTTGTGATCTAGGACTTGAAGCGATCAGTCACCAAGCAACTTCCAGACCATCGGGTCGAGTCCATCGTGTACCCTCAATATGAGACCAAAGGCGAGTTGGCGCAGGCCACCGAGGCGTTTCTCTCATGGTTAGTTCACTCCATCGCTCGCAGTCGCCTGTATCCTGCAATAACCTAACACTGCGTAGGCTCAAGGAGAGAGTCATGGATGTAAGAAAGGCCAACGTCGAGAAGCCCTGGCCACCAAAAGACAGAGAAGTCGGAGTCGTTCTCGTTGCCCACTCTATGGGGTAGGCAGTGTCCAGATACCTGCAACTTTGTAGGACCAAAGGCTAACAGCACCTCAGAGGATTCGTCGCCGCAGATTCGCTGTTCCTCGCCATCAATGAGCGAGCACAGTCCAATCCGTCAGAAGACGATCCAATCTTCCCCCTCATCCAGGGCATCCTCACCTTCGACACCCCCTACAACGGCCTCGCCAGGTCTATGTTCGTCTACGGCGGCTTCTCCAACTACCAAAAGGTCAGCAGCGTCTTCAATGTCATGACAGCCCTCTCCGCCGCTGCACCCTCGACCCTCGCCCGTCTGGGCACCCGCCGCGCCGCAACCTCGGCCGTGACATCTACCGCCACCCGTAACCCAGGCTGGAAGACATGGCAGCTTGTCGCCGTGAAGACAGGCACCGTAGGCGCCATCGCTGCCGGCGGCGTCGCCGCTTACGTCAACCGCGAGGCCATCCTCAAGGGCATAAAGGGGCTCAACAAGAACTCCGTGAAGGAGGGCTACCAGCAGAGTGTCGATGCCCTCGGCCAGGGACTAGCGTACATCAACCGCGGCAATGTCGGCCAGTCCTTCGCCTGGCTCTCGGACCACTTCACTTTCGTTGGCGCGCTCATGAAGCAGAAGGAACTCAACCGCCGCCTCGAGCGGATGGGCGCACTCAAGGGCGTCGGGATTCACGACTTTTATGCGTCGCTCGGCGAGAATGGGTACTGGCAGGGTGGCTATTTTGTCCCCGAGCGGACGTTTTGCGCCGTTCCGGAGGAAAGCCATCCTGCTTCGTCCCTCTTCTCGCGCCAGGTTTTGCCAGATGTCGACGACGAGGTAGCGGCGCATATGGCCATGTTCCAGGCTGATAAGCACAAGGGGTACGAGAAGATGACTGAGCAGGCGGCTGACCTGGTGATTGAGTGGTTCAAGAGCGAGGAGCCGGTTGTCGACGACCCCAAGTTCCGTGAGACGCCACCCGAAGAGGTTGCGGAGGACGCCGAGGTCGAGGAGACGCTGGAGAAGGCCATCTCCAATACCGAAGCACCTGGACAAAAGTCAGATGACAAGCTCGCTGAAAAGGTCGACGAGAAGGAGGGTTCAAAGTCAGCAGATGGCGAAATGCCCGACGAGTCGCCCATTGACATTGCCGCTGCTGCCTCGCTCGTGCCACTTCCCGCCGATGGCGAGGGGGATTTGCTGGGCAATATGAACCCTGAGAACATGACTACAGAGGAGAAGCGGACGTACATGCAGCATCTCTTCCGCATCGCGCAGTCAACAGGCACGGGCGTCAAGGGGTGGCTTCCTGGTATGCCTAGTATGCCAGGTATGCCGGGTATGCCAGCGATGCCCAACATGCCGAATATGCCCAGGGTCCCTGCTTCTGTCTCTTCTCTAGGCCAGGCATCGCTGCCGAGCGTCAACATTTTCAGAAAGTCGACCCCCTCTCAAGGGCCAGCCGACGGGGAGAAGCCAGAGGCCGAGAAGACGACCGATGCAGAGGATGTCGCCAAGGTGGAAATCGATGCTACGAAGGCAGATTCGGCTGTTGCCGACGGCAAAAAGGAAGGTCAAGAGACTGGAAGCGAAGCCGCCGGCAACGAGACTGCTCAAGCGGCAGCCGCCACTGGCCAACTTGAGACCCAACCTGCGGAGACAGTCGCCGAGGATGGCAAGAAGAAGGGTTGGTCGCTGCCGAGCGTAAACATCTTTAGAAAGTCGACGCCTTCCCAGGCGCCTGCTTCTGAAGGGAAGGAGACTACGAAGACTGAGAGCGACAAGAATCCTGAAGCGGAGGTTGCTGGCAAGGAAACGGTTGAGGGTCAATCGGCTCCAGAAGCTGAGGCGGTGGGGACTGAGGTAGCTCAAACAGCGGCAGCAACAGGCCAGCTGGAGGCAGCTGACGTTGATGATGATGCGAAAAAGACGACGGCATGAGGAAGAGGGATGTGAAGATGACCGGGATTTGGTTTTATTTCGAGAAAGTACGAGCGCGGATTAACCTTAACACCAAGTTGATTGAGCTAGCAAGACCAAAATAATAGCTGAATGATTAAGAAATCCTTCAAAGTTGAACATTTCGGTGGAGTGGCTTGTCGTGGCTCTTTAGAGACTTGGCACAGAGGAAGAAGAACAGAAGTTTACATGAGAAGTGGCTGAACCTTGACAGACTACCTACCCAATGGTAATCACATCTATATCAAAGATGGATCGAACAGCAAAAGGAAATAATTTCGCCCGGACTTGAACCGGAGACCTTCAGTGTGTTAGACTGACGTGATAACCAACTACACCACGAAACCAAAGCTGTTATTGGTTGCCATCTAAAAGTCTAATATGTATTGCGCATGTGACAGCCAGAAATGGAATCCACTCGCCTCACCGGACGTGCGGTTAATGGCCCTCTCCTCTACGATTTCGGGATGCACCTTCCCTTGATCGAGATAAAGATCCTCGGACATACGACCATCGCTACTCTTCACGTTCTGGTATGGTTGGGCGGAGCAGTCGAGCCTCGTAAGCATTTCGCACTAAATGTATCCAAAGACGATATGTACTCACCGTTTGGCTAGTACTCTGATCGATAGCTGTCTCTAGAAGTCATGTCTGGACGCAGGCGGTTGGCTTGATTTGGACTTCTTGCGCCGGCTCTTTGATAGGCAAAATGCTTTTTGACTATACAGGCAAAAGGTACACACATCTGTCGGATTTCACGATGGTAGTGTATCTGCCTCTAGTGCTATTTCAAATTGCCATCTGGTTTCTGGTTTGGAAACATGATTAGCCTCATGATCAGACGGAGGCCGTGCATGATGAATTGAGGCCTACAGATGCCGAGTCTAATGTCTCACAGGAGAAGGGGGATCTTTAAAGACTTAGGTACGGTCCTCGTATACGATATGTAGCAGTCCGATATAGATGTAACGAGGACGAGAACGAGCAGAGTAAGGATAATATTTTAGCACTCAATTTCTGCATATTTTAAGCCAGGGGTTTTCGTGCGAGGTTTGCCATTTCCTGTAGAAAGGGTTATGTATTAATCTTCTCCCAATGTATCTCACCTCAATGCTTTGATAGTCAATCCCGCACGCATAATTCTTAAATCCACGATCATGAACTCATGAAAATGTGTTGGTGTTCCCTGCCGTCTTCCTTTGATATACCAAGTACGTGCCCACATTAAAAGTAAATCCAGGAGGCATCAGTCACCAGCCAAAAGCTTAGGTGCTTCTCCATACGTGGAACCCTTCAGGCCAGTTCGGTGAAGAACACTTGTAATTAAAATTCTCATTGCTCCATCCTTCCCTGTCCTTGCAATAATCAAGGTGTCATCCCGAAAGCCGAGGTCGCGGCAGGGGTGTTCGGATCACGCCGATGGTGAGGCAGCGCATGGCTACATGAGATGAGTATGCCGACATCTTAAGCTTTGGCGGTGGAAGGACGAGAGAGTATACATCGACTACCTATCAAGTCAATCGGACGAGGCATTACATAGGATAGGTATTGGATGGTCTGAAGTTGCGGTCAGTGCCAGGTGTTGTAAGATACCCAACCATCTAAGAGCGGACAAGCCCGGACGGAGGCTAATGATGAGTTTGAGTGGTGAGGTCTCCCGCCGGTACCCTGTGAAGCGTAAACCGTATTCTTCAGCACGTCCCGGGACGTGCCGAAAGGGAATTCTCTTGCTTCGCGAATGTTCATCGCATTGCGTGTAACGCGGTTTGCACATTTTACCCACTCAACCCCCTGTCCTGTGACCGATTCAAGAGGAGATGAGATGATGAACGTCAATGATAGCTTCAAACCCGGATCACCTCTTCGTGATCAAACATGTCGTCTTTGATGAGTGCGCTGAAACCATCAATGGCGGCAATGAGCCAAAGATAAGCCTGCATCACGAGACTTTGTGCGGTCCTTACGCAATTTTCGGGGTGGTATCGGTGATATTCCGGCCCCAGGTCTCTTTCCAGCAGTCTGGTACGTTCCTGCGTCTACGTCCCTGTCATCTTTGGGTCGCGAATCTTGCTACGGCTTGATAAGCCTTAAGTTTGTTGCTGCTGATATCATGGGTGCAGGCTCTAGATAATTGACTGTGGTGCCAGTTACTCAATTCGACATGAGATGATGATATTGCGTGCTCGAGGTCGCAATAAAGCTCGATTACCTTATTAGCTCTTCCCACAACGAGCTCCCCCTGCATCCATCACTCTGCGAATATGCATACCCAAAAGTCTAATCTCGCTTCTTCATCCTCTTTCACCATCAAGCACCAGAAGCCGTTTACCCCGCATCCTTCTCGGCTCTCTCCCATTGGATCGCAGTTGAAAATCCTAGGAAACCAAGCCTTGGAAGTCCTCGGTCTCTCGGTGGAACATGTGCGGGACCTGCATCCCGGCCTAATTACCCCGTCTGGGAGGTGACAAAGTGCCCCTGGACATCTTGAAGTTGGACCCTTCCCCGGTTCCTTTCCTCCGCCATCGGTGCAATTGCACCGAAAGATGAGAGCTTACCCTTCCATCTGCAGCTAGATCGACACAGAGCTTCATATGGCTCTTTTATTCTCTTGAAGGTATGATGCTCCGTGACCCGACTCAAGAGAAAGAGGGGAGTCCCTTGGCTTCATCTAACCTGCAGATCTAGCGGCCACCAGCACCGTAGCATCCTACTCGATTGCGGGCGACCCCCCGAGAAAGATGGAGCGAACGGATGGCATCATGCGCGCTGAGATCGCGTCGGGCCAAGTCTGAAGGCAATCATCCGTCCACTCCCACGACTCGAGATCACCGCACCGGATGATGCCATCCCCAGGCTGTGCTGCGAGCCAAGACTCGGCGGACCACGCGGTCAACTTGATGACATTTTCTTTCGCCTGCCGTTGTCCCGAAGTTGTAGTAAGCTCTTATTAGAGCAACACGACCTCCGCGTCCTTTTGCAGCTGCTGTAACGGTGCACAGCTAGACATCTTGAGTTCCTCACTCTTTGTTCTTCTAAGAATGTCTCGGCTCGTTCTTGGTCTGGTTGCCCTGACCGGCCTCATGGGCACGGCCAGCGCGCAACGCTTCGACAACACCACCAGCGACAGCGCCACCGTCAAATGGCTCGGCAGTACTCCCTCTTATACCGCCGGTACGACTTTCGGCTTGCCCTGGGCCCGCGGAAAATACTTTTCCAACTCGACCGAGTTCTCCCTCTCGGGCGGCGGCTTGCTGCAGACCTGGGTGACGGCATACTGGTCTGACGGCTCGATCAAATGGACCGGCCACGCGATTCCCGAGTCCGACACGATTCTAGACGAGTACACGGTCAGCGCATCCTCGTCGTCCAACTCGACGGCGCGCTTCTCCCGTGCCAGAAGACAGCAGTCTGGCGGCCTGACGGTGGCCGACTCATCTGATGCCGTCAGTGTCGACACCGGCAAGCTCGCAATCACTTTCCCCAAGTCGGGTAGTGCTGTGGTTGGCGAGATCAAGACCGCTTCTGGCAAGACTATCGGCCAGAACGGAAAGCTTGTGCTGCACTCTCAGTCCGGCGTCGAAGATCAGGCGGAACTGAAGGGTCAATCTGCCATCAACTACTTCAACTTCGAGAGCAACATTGAAGAGGTCACCGTCAGCAAGGACAATACTGCTCGTGCCCTCGTCACAGTCCGTGGCAAGCACTCGGGCGAGGGTAGCCACGATGATTGGCTTCCCTTCATCCTCCGCTTCTACCTCTACCACAACTCCGAGGCTGTACGCATCGTGCACACCGTCATTTACGATGGCAACGCGGAGGAGGACTTTATCTCTGGACTCGGCATCCGCTTTGAGGTTCCCCTCGAGGGCGAGGAGCAGTACAACCGCCACGTCAGAATCTCCGGCATCAACGGAGGTCTCCTGAGCGAAGCGGTGCAGGGCATCACTGGTCTCCGCAGAGACCCTGGTGTCGACATCCGCAACGACCAGTTCGAGGGCGTGGAGCTCGCCGACCCCGCTACGTGGGATCAGAGAGTCACGACCAGACTCAAGTGGATTCCAACCTGGAGCGACTTCAGCTTGACACAGCTCTCCCCTGACGGCTTCACACTGAAGAAGCGCACCAAGGCCGGTCAGAGTTGGGTCAACATCCCCGGCGGCACTCGCTCGGGCGGTCTGGCCTACCTCGGTGGTGCCACCAAGGGTGGTCTCGCCGTCGGCCTGCGCAACTTCTGGAAGCGTTACCCGACTGGCATCGACATCACCAATGCTGCCACGGACAGGGGTGAGATTACAATCTGGATCTACAGCCCTTCGGCGCCCGCTCTAGATATCCGTCCCTACCATGATGGCCTCGGCCAGGATACCTACGCGGAGCAGCTCGACGCGCTCGAAATCACCTACGAAGACTATGAGCCCGGCTTCAACAACCCCTACGGCGTCGCCCGAACCAACGAGATCTTCCTCTATGGCTTCGATCAGACCCCCAACCGTACCCTCCTCGCCGACCTGACCGACCACACCAACAACCCGCCCGTCCTCTTCGGCGAACCCGAATACCTCGCCGAGACCAAAGCCATCGGCAATTACTGGGCCCCTCCGGCCGAGTCACCATCAGGTCTCGCCGCTGACATCGAGAAGCACCTCGACTTCCTCTTCAAGTTCTACGAGGGCCAGGTCGAGCAGCGCAAGTGGTACGGTTTCTGGGACCACGGCGATTTCATCCACGCCTACGACACGGACAGACACCAGTGGCGCTATGACATTGGAGGCTACGCCTGGGATAATTCGGAGCTCTCTCCCGACCTCTTCTTCTGGAACTACTTCCTCCGCACCGGTCGCGAGGACGTCTTCCGCTTCGCTGAAGCCCAGGTCCGCCACACGGGCGAAGTCGACGTCTACCACCTTGGCAAGTACAAGGGACTCGGAACCCGCCATGGTGTTCAGCACTGGGGAGACAGCGCCAAGCAGGCCCGTATTTCAACGCCCCAGTACCGCAAGGTCTTCTTCTTTGTCACGGGCGGCGACGAGCGCACCGGCGAGCTGATTGAGGAGATTCTCGACACGGACAAGACCTACGGTGTCCTCGACCCCAACCGCAAGGTCCGCACCGACGGCTGGGTCCCGACTCCCAACTCTTCTGTCGCCGTCGGGCTCGGCACGGACTGGTCCTCCCTCGCCGCCTCATGGCTCCTCGAATGGGAGCGCCGCGGCTCCCGCTGGGAAGAGGCCCGCACGAAGCTCACCAACACCGCCGCCAGCATCGCCAAGCTCAAGAACGGATTCGTCACGGGCTCTGGCCTGTACAACCTCGCCGACGGCACCCTCGGCCCCCCGCCCGCGGACCCCAACAACAACGGGACTGTCGCCGTGTCCCACCTTTCCGCCGTCTTCGGCCTCATGGAGGTCGTTGCCGAGTTCATTGAGCATGCCGGCGAAGATGTCCCTGATGGCTTTGAGCAGGCGTGGTACGACTACAGCTACTACTACAGCGCCAGCACCGCTGAGCAGACGGCGCGGTACGGCAAGGGATTCGGTAACACGAGTCTCAAGCAGGGACACTCTCGTCTCACTGCCTATGCTGCTCACCGCACGAACAATGCAACTCTCGCGGCTCGTGCTTGGAATGAGTTCTTCAACACGGACGGACTAAAGCAGTCTGCCCCTTGGAGCACTGTGCACTTCAACGGCAGCGATGTGTTGGCGCCAATCGACGAGGCATCGTGGATCTCTACGAATGATGCTGCCTTGTATGGGCTGGCAGCCATCAGTGACCTTGCTCTTGTCGGCGAATACCTTCAGTAGAGAAATTCCATGGCTCGGAATATTTTCTTGGTACAATTTCAAGGGGTGCGCAGGAAATGCTCAACGCTTTAATTAGAAACAACCTACATGTGCTCACTCATTCGTAGCCTTTCATGTCCATACTTAATTTCATCTTTTCAACCTTTACGTCGAGATCTTGCACCTTCCTAGTCGCCGCCTGCTGGTCGTCACACCAGTACGAGTGATCACTTCTATCACTGTGACTAACTCCCAGTATTTTGCCTTCAAGCTTGGAAATAGACTGTTCTCCAATAGTATCATATGGACAGTCCAGTTGCACCGAGTTCCATCTTGGCCATGTTATAAGAGAAACGAAGAAATACTTCCAGTTGTTTTCCCAGTGGGACCCCTCGCATGACAAGAATTAGTGTAGAGTTGGCAGCGTTCCAGCCGCACAAGGGGAGAAGGAGGAGATTCAGCCATAGAAGCGTCATCTTCAGCATGACCTTCATAAACTCGAATAGCCCGACGGTGTGCCGACCAGAAATAGAATGATCATGATGATGAGCCCGATTTGCCGAGGCTGGCTGGATCGTCTCAGGGACGCCAACTAGTGTGGCCTCGCTCTCCATTGTTTCTCTGGATTCCAGTGATGGTGCAATCAAAGACATGTTTTCGTCCTTCGCCTCGTAGATAGGGGACTGTCGGTGTCAGTTCTAAGTTCTGAAATTGATATGCCAAAACTGGGATGATTCTAAGCGTACATGCGTCTTTCTGTCGTTGGATGAAGTGTTTGAATGAACAGTCGCTGCCCCAAAAGATAGTTCAAGCAGCACTTGACGATGTATTTAGCTGGAGAGGAGGTAGTTGTACAGGCTTTAGACAGGTGCAAGCTTTGTTGCTCTGTTATGGCCGGCTCGTGTGGCGTATCAAAGTTTCCGTCATTCCTTTTCTCGCGGGTGAAGAGACACGAGGGTAGGGATTTATCTTCAAATCCTCAATACAACTCGCCGTGTGAGCTTACTACCCGAGAACCTTGCGTATCCTTTTCGGGAACAGTTCATGTGAAGGGATGACGAGCAACGAGTGACGCGCCACAGTAGATGCAGCTCGTTGAGAGTGGCACAGCGCCGGGAAAGAGTCTTACGGATGACATGGATTGCACGGGTTGATCAAGATAAGTCCTTCTTCGGGGGCTTCACGTGTGACAAACGCATTGCTTTTGGCCGAATGTAGCACAGCACGAAGCAGCTGCTGGTTCGATATTGGTCACATGGGTGAGGTTGGTCACAAGTACCATTTAGCAATCAGCCGATGGATTGACCAAGACATTCATTATCGCCCATGGGTACATGTAGTATGGCAGAGGTCTCTTAACTATACTTGTTTATCGTGAATATTACAATCAGGTATGCAATCATACAAGTTTCGATGCCCCATCGTACCTTGGCGTAACACTGCTGCTGGGTATTGTATATGATTGGCACTGCTCAGGGGCCTTGAGGTGTCGCGAGGAGGCATAAACGTGTTTAGCGAGCGGATTTGGGGTCTTGGAAGGCTATGCCGCTCAAGACACAGGGGTCTGAATACCTGAAGGCAACCAGCCGTTAGAGTGCGTCAGCCTGTGGCTCAAGGTCGAATATGTGCTAGTTTTTGGGTCATTCTTTGGTGGCTTGGTTCTTGCTATCTACATTCTCAGTTCGCAGGTTGATTCAAGAAGAATTGATAGTGACATGAGCTGAATTAAGCAGTAGTCCTTGAAGTAGATTGTTCAAGGATTGACTGTAGCTGCATCTGCTAACACAATTTTACCAACCCATTGGCGTAGATCGGCCAATACTGACGGCCATTTACTAGTATGGAGCTTTTAGTACTTTTGAAGCCAAGACCTAGTATATAGCATTCACGCCTGGCATTTCTCATGGCGGTATATGAGCAAAGGCCGGCTGTATTGGTTGAGGCCGCGATGATCTGAGAAGTCTCCCAAAGCGCAAGTTCCTTCAAAGCCATGCCTGGAGCAATGTACCCATGTACTCTCTGGTCCTTGAATGCTCTTCCATCATGTTTTGGAGTGCACTTCGCCAGCCTCAAGATTGAAGCGGCTGAAACAGAATCACAAAGATTAGCAATCGAGAGTTGTTGTATGAAATAAGCTCGGGAGACGTACCACAACGGACATGTGTAAGCGTGCTTGAGGAGCCAAAGCTCGATGCAAGCCGAGCAGAAGACATGGCCGCACGGCAACTGTCCAACAACACTTCCAGCCACGAAGTCATCCAAGCAAACAGGACACGTCTTGGCTTCGGCGACTTTTGCGAATGACTCGAGCTTTCCGCAGGTCAGCTTTGCCATCCGTGCTTTCCTCGGTAATCTGGGCAAGCCATAGGGGTTCAAAGACGACGGATCGGATGCATCATGCTGACTGCGGTGATGATTTGCCGTTGTAAGATGTAGAGAAGCTGGTGGAGGAGGAGGCGGCGGTGGATGCCTCAGCTTTCTGATCTTCTTCCATCCGAAGAGGTAGAGCACGAGGCCGACTAATAGGGCGAATGCGACACAGAGTGCTGCTGCGACGGCACCTGGCTGCTTCTCGGGCACCCAGGTGGTTGAGGCATCTGTGACAGCGGCATCTAAAATGCTTGTCGGGCTCATACGGATGATGTCATGAGGAGTTTGTTGACGAGGAAGTTAAATGGCGGGAGAATATCAGGATGAGCGAAATCCAAACGGACTCGAACTGAAGTCCTGCTATCCCGCGGTTTTTAACTGCCATCGACCATGACTGATTTCACTGTGCTTCGTATCAACATTGCACAGGAACAGTCTCACCGACTCGAAAGCCATGTGATGTCTCGGTTGAGGGATTAAGATCCTCATGTTGCTGCGTGCATTGATATCTGGCTTGCCAGATCAAGTCTTCGGATGCAAGAGCATTCCATAGGCTCGGCAGCCTATTGGAATGGCGTTGACATTATTTGGGTCCTTTGTTGCCCGTTTCCCACGGGTAAGCAGTAGCCTGTAGGTAATTTTAACGTAATGGTTGTCCATCACCACCGAATCCGACCGTGTCTGTGTTGACCTTTTGTGTATGAGCGATTTTTCCTTGGCACTCAGGCCTCCTTGCATCTTCCACAATCCGGCTAGGGCTTCGTGTAAGTGATTGTTGGGAGGCCGCCTGTCAGATTAATGAGAGTTACGACGTGAGAGAGTCGCCGTTCTAACTGGCATTTGCTCTCGTTCCGCCAACTTTTGTCATCCAGGATGATAGCGCATTACCTACGGTCATGTAACAAGAGGCATTTAATGTCAATCATACGCACCACTGCGCGACGAGCGAATCCAATCGCGTTCGTTTCAAATGCCTACTGACGGTCATTTCATTGCTTCTTCTTTCCCAGACTTGTGACGATTCCTGCCTTGAAAGAGCTGCCCTCCTTACAGATGCTAAAGGAAATGGGACAGTATCGATTGCAAATTGAAAGACTGTGTCTCTGACTTACCACAAGAAGGAACAATAGAAGTGTGACACCCCTTGTTTCTTTGCCTATTGGCTCTTAACCTTACGAATCGATAAATTATGTCTAATCCCCCGGGAACATGGAGCAGATAGGCATCGTTGACTTCATTTTCGAACACATGATACGAACTCGAGGTCGATTCCGCCGGCGCGCACTGATTTGACAGGCAAAGCAGAAGAAAAATGATGTGTTGCGAGAGGGAAGAAGTAGTTGCAATTGTCAAGCTAGGAAACGAGGGCTGGCAAGGCGAGGCGGCGCTTGGTAAAGTGCCGAACAATAGTCAAGGTAGTGAAGAGTTTGACTGACCGAGAGACCATTGGTTGCATCGATGAAAGATCCTTTAACGGCAGTCTTCTAGTAATCATGCAGCTCAATTTCATAGTACTCCAGTGTCTTTGAACAGCAGTCTGACGCCCATGCTATGGGATTCCCAACGTTTTCAGAAACGTCGACGTCAACAACGCCACGATAGTCGCAACATCTACAACTTCTCCGGCGATAGACGAGCATGGAGCTTGACATGGCGGGGGTCAAAATTGCGAAGAGTACTTCCTTTATCAGTGTTGCGTTCATCCATCATGGTGCAAAGTTTGTCAAAGGCCTGTTGCAAGTTGAGGTCACTAACATGATTGTCAACCTCTATGCCCGCATACCCACTCGAGAAAGCTATCTCCGGAGCCCTATTTAATACTAGTAGTTAATTCGTTCCATTTTCATTCGCCCGGAGCCACGAACCATCACCACACATCTTGCATCTCTCATCCCAGTCTCACAACACTTTTCTATCCGTAGAGTCATCCCGTCTTGAGAAACGGGACTACTTGAGCCGAAAATATCGACCTTCTTCCCGAGCTTGAGTCCATGGTTGTTACACGGCAGGACAACATCAAACCAGACTACGACGACATCAAGAGGTGGCAGTCCCTCTTCGGCTACACATACTCTGGTGCCGCACAAAAGATCCAAGATCACAGGTCCAACGTCGCACGAGTGCGGGTATCTGATCTTCAATGGGAAATGGTTCGCGCTGAGAAGGAGGATCAGGGCTACGACAAGGAGTCGTACGAATACTCTTACAGCCTCCCCAAGGCTCAGACGTCACACGACGCCGAAAGGTGATGAAGAAGAAGCCCAGCACCTACCTCCTTAAGCTAGAAGGTCCTTTCTCCACCCCTAAGGATGTCAAGATAGCATGCGGTACTTTTTCCGTGCCACTCTCGGGATTCACCGGCACCAACAACAACGGAGCCCCTGCCTCTTTCTGCAAGGTTGACGGAGCGACCAAGAAGACGATCCTCGATCACTTTTCCGATATTGAATCAACCTTCTAGCCCATATTCATCCGCTACAAAAAGGCGGAGAAGGCACTTCCCACCACCTTCATGCATCCCACCCTTGGGTCCGAGGCTACCTTGCCCCATCACCGACCGAGCTTCGAGTCCAACCTCGAGTTTGATCAACGTCTCTTCCCAACCCAGGACCAGTACCCAGTCTGTTACTTCCTCTGCAGCACCCTTGTGAACCCTTCCGTCCTGGAGAACCTGATTAGGATTGGAGAGCCCGTCTATAGTGCTGCAAGGGTTCGTGGTGACAAGTACAATGCCCTGGTGGATGCGCCGGCTTACAAGACAGGTTGCGTAGAGGGTCATGCCTTCCTCAATACGAACAAAGATCAGGAGGATGCACTACAATGCTACGAAACTGACATCTACGAGGTTGGCCAGTGCATGATAGAATTAGAAGGACAGAAGGAGGAGAAGGTCAGGGGACTCACACTTACGTTCCGATTCATCGGGGATACGGATCCTTGATATGGGTGGGAGAGTTCAAGGACCCAAGCCCGCGGATAGGGAAGATAACGAAGAGCATGTCACCATTGTTATGTTGACGGTAGAAGACTGTCAAATAGTGGTGCTGACACAGGGTGGAAGCTCTCAGAGGCCTACTGCAGTCAGGTGTAAGATCATGAATTACTGAAATCTACTCCTCCCTCGACGTGGACTCTCTGCGTTGTACATATATCTGAGCTGCTCCATTTTTGCTTGGACCCCTTACTACCTCTAACTAACCCTTATCCGGGCGGCCTCTGACAAAGATAAGTTGACCGATATCAGTCTATCAGACCATCTCCACGACATGAGGAAATCGACTCTCTTAGGTCAAGGAGAAAAAAGGAAGCGCCTGGATCGTATACTGGTGAACCGACAATGCGTCAAACTTCACCGTGCATGCTGAAGGAAGAATGTTGTGCTAGATAGGAATTGAGACCATCTCTGCCACAGACTCCAAATACGTTCTCATGCTTGAAGGTGCTCTGGTCACAAACTTTATTGTTGCTACTTAGAGAGGCCCGTCTTTTGCGCCTGCTTTTGCAGATACTCCTTATGTTTAGGCTGAACAAAGCTCATATCCCCCCTCAGCATCAGAGACCTCTCCACGCCCTCCCGCAGTCCAGACTGCAACACATGCTCGCAAGCGCTCAATGTGAAGCCAAACCGCGGATGCGTCGTCTGCCCGAAACTAAACGTTGTCGACGACGGGTGCGAGAAGCCCGAGTGAACCGTGTACAACTCGAGCTTGAGCAGGACGGACTGAAGCGCCGAAGCGCTCCCGCGGTACGCCGAGACGGGGTCCGGGGCCGTGAGGTCGATTTTTTGAGCCGCGAAGGACCGAATAAGTGAGCCTAAGAGGATGCTGTCGCATCGTTTGCCTCCCGTGGGATCTTGTGGTGATGACATGCATCGATCTCCGTGTTTTAGGGTCATGTAGAGGCTGGCGTAGGGTTCCAGCATAGTGGTCAGTAGAGTTTTCCGTATTGTCGTGGCGTCATCTAGAATATGTGTCAGTGATTCCCATTGCGGAGTTCTCGCCCATCAGAAACTTGGATACGTACCAACTAAGCCAGACGGGAATAAGTATTCTATGTTGCAAAGCTTGTATGAGTAAGTATCCCGGTTTTCTCCGCTGTATCCAAACACCAGATCTTCGTCGTCGTCAACCAAACACTCGGTAGCAATCTTCATTGCCATATTATTGAACGTAAGAGCGTCTCCAAGTTCATAAGCAACCCCGAGAAGTAGTGGATTTTGCATGCTCGTCTTGACAGACTCCATCCATCCGCGGGCCCACGGACGCGTAATGCTGGTCGCGTCATATTTCTCAGTGATCACGAGAAACTGGTATAACCGTGTGAGATCGAGGTGTTCAGGGACTTTTTCAAACCGCCCATGTGAAATATCGAGCAGCAACTCCAATGCCTCTTGCCGGTCATCGGGCAATTCCACAGTCCAATCTCGCTGGCCGTCGGCCATATGTGGTCGCGATTCAGCGAAGCCGCCATAGAGCATCTTTCGAAAGACGGTCGAGGCTCTCGCGAGCGCTTTGGAACATACAAAGTAGTTTTTGGGCTTCTCTTCCACGTCTTCTCCCACGAAGAGGTAGAGGTCCCCGTTGGAGTCGATTACATCCAGGCCGCCAAGACTTCGGATCGCCGGCTCGTGGTCGGGATCTTGGTCCATTGTCGTCATGACACTGAGGAACTCCGGAGGGCGCTCATCGACTCTTGCCTTGGTTGATTGGGCTAAGAATTGATATGTGTTTGTCAGATGAACTTTCCGAGTTGTTCTGACTGGTTCAACCAACCCAAGTCTGATCGTAAGTTTGGGGGATCACCAGGTTGACCCCAGCCTGATTTGTTCACACAGAGACGTTCCAAAGGTGGTCAGATTGTGGCCCGTGCACGTCACAGAGGTCGTACAACGGGGCAGAAGGGAGTGTTTTGAAGTCGGTCGATAACAACTTGGGTAGAGGGCGGGAATAAGTCTGGGTTGTCTCCGTATGTGGGTGAGCGATGAGCCGGGCATAGGATCTCGTGATCTAACTGAATAGTGACATGGTCTCTCAAAGGAGGCAGAGACCATTCGTTCAACAGAACTCTCACAGAAAGGCTAGGCTCGGAAACTGATGGCTTCGAGCCCGTCCCTGGAACGAATGTTATACGGGCGATCGGCACCATCCCGGCCCCCGAGGCCCCCGCGCGCATGGCAAACCCACCTTGAAAACGTCCAATGGCGCCTCGCGTCTCGGGGCGCCCAGTCCCGTCACGGCATCCCACCCCTGTGCGGCGCGGCGCGGGACGCTTTGCTTACCCCACAATCCGAGTGGTGTGCCGAGATTCTCTCAGCGAGTTATTTGACGGGCATAGGGAAGATGAGGTACATCAAGTCGACAGTGTCCTTTTCTTCCTCAACCTTTCGCCTAGAATTAAGGATCAATGAATGGGCTTGACGCATAATTGCTGTGTGTACGTGACCACAGCCACGGTTCCGAAGACTTTCAAGGTGGGCACGCGCTTGATCCTTTGATTTCACGTGTTGAATAGAGGTTGAGTAAGGGAGGGGGAGAATCACGTTCAAGTCCCAAACTCGAATGCCGATTCCAGTCTTTTAACTCCATACCGCCATTGAATAAAGTCATTTCATAAGCTACTGAGTAGAGATCACGTTTTCGACGAGGTACCTCTTGATTTTCATAAACCATCGTGCTGGTTTGAAGCGTATGTGAGGACTGTTGAAATGCACGACCTAACATTGTTTACAGAGGCTCTCTGAGCACTGGATGTATAATAGGGACTGCCGTCCACCTCCATATGTCTTGTCTGGTTCAAGCAATACAACACCAATTACACTGCCTATACCTTCGTTCAACAGGGACCACTAAGGTACTGAAGAGCATGAAATATTACCAGATATATCTGTTGATAAATAATGGTCGCCTACGTTCTTGCTTCAGTCCATCGTCTCTTGGTGATTATCTCAATCAAAGCACAAGTCATTAGATTCTATCCTACCTGGTTGAGAGCTCAAGGGCCATCAAATCTACAAGCAAACAGTGTATATCATTCTAGTTTTGTACACCAAGTCCGGTTTCCTGGTAGCTACACTCGCTTTGCGTGTTCTCCGATGTTTTTGTTATGATCTTATATGTAAGAATTCATCAAGAGATAAGCATACCTTATCTAAGGTATGGAGAGTCACCTGCGCCAGTATCATCGCCAAGATGTGTCGGTATCCCACTCTGCCTGTGGGCGACATACCATTCCGTTGTTGTACATTAATTAGTAGTGTGTAAATAAACCATATTGAAGTCCAATTTCCTTTACCTCCAGCTTTACTGAAGCATCGTAGGTGAATACACACATTCTATTCTCACTCCTGCTAAGATGAAGATGAAGAGGATCCTGACGAGGTAGTTTGAACACCTTCTCCTTTAGAGCAATCTCAGAAACTACGTGTAATCAATCCAAGAAAATTGACAAGCCGGCGATGTTGTTGCCCCATTAGAGAGCTAGGTTGATCCCACTCTCGTACAAATTACACTGCACTCTCGTTAGCCCCGGGGGCCGACAAGTCCCGCTCTCCGCGAAGCACCCGATGCGACGGCGTTATCTACCTTATGCCACTGATTGACATTGACAAAACCCAGATCCCATTCTTTCGGGCTTCTGCCCTGAAATGAATGGTTTACTGCAGTAAGTAAGTATAGCCAGTAGCTACTGGTAAAAATTATAGTAGAAAGGTCAGAAAGCATAGACAGTATCATTGTTCAATACGCCGAAAGGGGCGTGAGCCAATATTAGTATCAAGACCCAATGCATTTGTGTTGCATTATGTTGACTTTGACATTGCAATTTTCATCACCACTGACATTGTAATGACGGCGACCGTGATGAACACAGAGTCAAGCGGGGGAGGCAAGGCAATGACCGTGATGATGAGTCGCGGCCGAGCCGCCCACACCGCTCAGACCAGAAGCGCTATCCCCCATAATCCTCTCCAGCACGAGGTGAAGCTCGCTTCAGCCGTGAAACCTCGAATGATTGATATTTCCGCTAGCCCTTGCTCCCACTGTCTCATAGACCTTTCAAACAATACGTGCCTCTATTTAGAATCCGAATCTTAATCAACGGCGGAGATCAGCAAGTTCTTGATACCCTATCAATCCTCGAGGGCATGGGCCAGCGCAAATGCGAGTTGGATGAGTTACAGCGGGTACTCCCGCTTGACCTGAGACATGCTCCTTTTAGCGGCCCCCAGAGTCTTTCAATGAGGCTCTCAAATCAAGAGGTTACTAGTCATTCTACTCGTAAATGGTGTGTAATACAGCACTTTTCAGATACTCACAATTCTAAAGAGACAGTCCAGCATTTCCCCTATCCTTTACTAACCACCTTAATCAACTACATTCCGACCTGCCCCCTTGTAGATCACCACGGCCACCTACTACCCCTCTCACTACTACTCCTAGCCACGCCAAGACACGCCTCTTACCAAGGCCGAGGCCATCTAATATTCAAACGACTGCAAGTCAGATCTCAAGGCTTCTAGCGACCTCAGGTAAGCCAGTATTCCTATTGCAAGGCGCACGCTAATAGGCCTCAACGTGGTCCAAGCCTGTAAGATTTCCTGCCTTGCCTCATCTAAGGTAATAGTGCGTAGACTTTGAGGTGGTGCTCCACAAGATAGATTACCAGCAGGCTTACCGTGAATGGATGCCCAAGTAGTTAGTACTCCGTACACCATTTCTCAAATGGCCATCAACAGGCACCATGGCTAAAAGATATATGCCGTATATCACCAGCAGATCACATCACTTAGAAGAAGCGTGTCTCGGGCATCAAGGAGATCACCCTCTCGCCAAGCATTATGGAGACTAAACACTTGGATTCATGACGAACGGTCTCATCGACCATGTCACTCACATGAATACCGTGATCTCGTTCGCCCCCAAAACTACGCGATGATGGTGACGACGCGGCCGGGTTCGCCGAATGTGCGAGAAAGCTTGCTGCGATGCAAGCAAATGCCTCCACATTGGGGATCGCACCAAGGCTCGACTGGCCGGACGCAATGCGAGGAGGATTACGAGAAGTGATTAGAGGAATGGTAATCTGTCAACGGAATTTGACGTGGTGCGGAAGCAGAGGACATGTGTCCAAAGTTGCATGCTCGACGCCGTAGCGGCGCCCTGAACGACAACGAAAGAGTACACAGTCATAGATGTCACAGGAATGCTTTGGTATGGACTATCTGCTTTCGGTATTCTTCTTGCGTCATATGAGTTGCGCGGCTCGACCACTATGATGCACTGGATAGTGCCGATATTCGTTGAATGTTTGTTAGCGCGGTTCCTCGCTACCAGACTGTCTCTGTCCACCTCAATTTGCACCTAATTCTGTACAAGATCCTTTCATGTCTTAGAAATGACAAGGCGATTTCGGCAGGGGAAGTTTGCAAACTTCCGAGGGTGGTATTGTACAGATACAACTGTGGGATGAACCATTCTCGATCGGTCTGCAAATGTGGCCGTGTGTGAGTGGCCTGAGATGCTGTCGGCATGGAAATGGTCTCGCCTTTGGCTCATATGTCAGCTGTCAAACTCGTCTTTTTTTTGCTTCGCTTTTATGCGTTTAAGGTGATCGTGCGCACCTGAGCCGTTCTATGGCCGAATCATCGTAGTACACACTAGGGCGCAACTTTCCCCTACGGCAAAATACGACAGATCCAAGGAATATAAAAGCAAGGCTATTCCCACCGTTCAGCACAAATATCACTCTCACAACCATCACTCTCACAGCTAACACCCCATAACCAACAGCACTATACCACCTCAGCTCATAATCTCGCTGAAATTTAATACCAAGATGTCCGGCCAAAAGAGTACGTCCACTACGCACCACCTTCGCCATTTCACCTCTCTGACAAGCATTGTGTTCTAGCCACCCAGTTTGACACCTTCTCCAAGTTCCTTACTCCCCTCATCACCACCAGTATGCAGGTGATGAAGTTCGCCGGAGCCTAGGTCAAGTTAGAGACCGGCCAAGACACCCAGCAAGACAAACGCTGGTTCGACTGGGAGTCTTTCAAGTCCTCCGTCGACAGGTCTCAAGGTGATAATCTCATCTTTGATAAGTTCAAGACAACCACCCACCATTGCGCGCAGCGATGCCACCGTCTAGACTATGGTAGAGAAGATTGTGAAGTTCCTCCCTCATTGAGGCGCTCGGCGTTGTCATGAACGAGAAAGCAATCAAATCGCTCACTTTCACCCTCGAGGCGACATTCACCAACTTGAAGGAGAAGTCCTCGAATGGATTCTTGGACTTCAACAAGCCCAGTGACGGGCACAACCTTTCGTGAGAATACCGTAGGTTCCCCAACCCAGATCTGCCTGATTTTTTTATAGTTTGGTCACGACTATCAAGGTGCAGGCGGATGTGTCTAGCGAGCAGGAGTGGTAGAGTTTGGTTGGTGCTTCGTCGAAGAGCTTCTCTGCTACGATTGATGCCATGGAGTTAGTCGTCATGAAAGGCTTCAAGAACCCTACCTAAATGTAGACGTGGGAAGTGGAACCACTGCATTAAGGTCATTCTACTATCGAATCCTTTGCCTAGGCGTGGAAGGGCAATACTGTCGACTACCTATAGATCTATAGTATAAATACAGCAACTGGTGAATAGACTGTCTGTCGATGCTGTGATTTGTCCCGCTTGGATCCGGATATGGAGGAGTGGCTTTGAACCACTCGGCATATTAATCTCTGCGATTATTCAATCAACCTCAAACCCAAACTAGAAAGTCTTCCCGATAAGTGGAGAAATAGAGGCAATGGGGATCGAACTGGAGATGCGGGAGGCTCCATCATCTGGCCGGGGTACCTTAGTCCAAGGCGACCAGTGGGTCGCGGAGGTCGTGTCTTCCCTTCCTAACATCTTCGATAACTAAGATCAAGGAACGTTCAATGCCCGGCTGCTTTCTTCCAACGTCGCAGAACAGATTCACTGATAGTACACGTATGTAGAACTGAATGCCACGATTTTATTCTGATGGTCGAAGATGTCGCTGGACGAAAATTCTGATTAGATACTGAGTACTCTCATCTCCTGCCAGTAACATTATACAGAGTTAGAGTTATCTGCGCATGACCAAGCAGAGGAGCGGTTTGGTCCGTTGTAGTCATCGATAATTCCCATAATGGAACTGTAAGTCCCAGCAACCATCAAAAACGTTCCCGATACCACAACAAAAGCAGCCCAAACGCACATAGCGTACCATCTCAAGGTGGGGTTCTGTTTCCCTTTAGTCCAGTTGTCGTAGAACCACATGCAACCCATTGGCTGGAAACAGATCAGAGTGCCGAGCAGCGCACCGATGAGAGAGATGAGACTGTTAAACACAGGAATGCCGCTAGCAACCAAATATGCCACCAAAGCGACAGAAAAGGTACAGCCAATCCATGTTGCCCAATGGGTAAAGGTGTTGGCTGTCAGGTGCTTTGAGCCTCTCAGGATTCGGACAAATACGTGCTTGCTGGGCAACTACAATCGATTAGCTTCCATTCGCTTCCTCGCGGCGGAGTAAAGATACATACATGAAGCAAGACAGCTGCAGAGACAATCAGTCCAGGAAGACCGAGTCCGTAGGCAACCTTCTTTACACTTGGACCAGCAGAGCCGAGCGCGGGTGAAGAGACATAGGAGCCGCAGTAGTAGTAGACAACAGCGCCCACAGCCACATAGACGAGAGTGACGACGGACTGGCAGAGAATGAGAGCTCGAGTGTAGTGCTTAGGCTCGCGCATCTCGGCCACAATAGAGAAGAACGCTGGTGTGCCCGCGTACGAGAAAACAAGTGCGGAGATGGCTGCGATGGCTTCTGCGAAAGTGGGCGAGCCTACCAGCTTGAAATCTGACTTCCATGGAATATCTTTGGGTGCTGCCGCAGGCCGATCCTGCAAGCCCACTGCGATGGTCACAGTGAGAACTGACGAAGTTGTTAGATACTATAAATTTCTTGGAAGTATGGACGCAGGCTTACCAGCGACAATGATACTCGTCACACCGACCCATGCTAGCCAACTGATGCGTCCCAGCGTCCGCAGACTAGAAAAGCCGAAGCCAATGATCGCTGCAACGGCCACGAATACAGCAGTGCAGGTTGCATGCATGGATAGAGCATTCAGGGCGATGGAAATACTTAGCATAGCTGACCCCGAAGTAAAGGTGAAGACTTGACAAGGTTAGTTGAGATCCTGCCGAGGGGCAGATACGAAGACTCACAGAGACAAAACCCAGCACCGAATATTTCCCGGCCAATCCAACCAAACATCAACTCTCCAGCATCATCAACGCCGTAGACTTCGGGGTGGCGGAGCTTGAAGGTACCGACAATGAAGTCGGACCAGGTAGTGATGCCGCTGATCACGCAGATGAGGATGACTCCGGGAATTATCCCCATGGTATCGAGGATGGAGGGGATTGATAGAACACCGAGACCCATCTGGGTTTTCATCATCAAGACCGAAGTTCCCAGCCACCCAACCTAATACAAGTCAATTCCCATGCTCTCTCTCAATTTATGGGAGCCACAAACACTGCGGTAATTAGGACCGTCTTCCGTGATCTCACCAAAGACAGCATCGTGGGCAATCGCGTTGTCTGCGGCGACAACCTTGCCCGTGTTCGACGGTGCCTCGCCCAGCGAGCTATCCTTGATCTCTCTTGTTTCTGACATGGCGGTGCCTGAACGCAAGCACTCGACTTTCAGAGACGGGTCGAATCGGCGAGAACTGGGTCAACGAGTGGGAAAGACCAGGAAGGGGACGGTAGGATGAGCATATTATTATAGGTGTTGAAAATTCCCCAGATCATCCTGCAAGTTGCCGAGCATTTTTCCGGAGACATGAAAATTCTCCCCGCCTCGCGGGGTCGCTTCTTTCGATTGACACATTCTGTTATTAAATTTCAATGGAGTCAAGTGAAAACCCCTTCTCGCGAGCCCGCCGGTATCGGAGCGTAAAAGTCCGAGCCTTGGCAAGATTATATGGGCACTGACTGGGCAGTCGAAGGCTGTCATTGAAGACTAACGCCGCGAACTCTTCGTTAGATACTCGAGTTGAAGTCGAGGGGATTCAGAAACCCCACGAATCCAAGATAAAGGCTACACGATAGCTTCTTGCCTGCGGAGAATTGGGTCCATCGCAGATAACATCCATCATTCGTTACTCCCTAGATCCCGCAAAGGGTTGTCTGGGGAAGTGGAGACATAAATGGGAACAATCACCAATCAGACTCTGTTCTCGTTATGGCCTTCCTCTTTGGATTAGACGTTGGTGAAGATATCTTCGTGTTAGTCAGAAATTCCCGGTTCTTTGGAAACAACTATGTCAGGGGCACGCAATCTTACCTGCTAGCTCATTCCGAGGCTCTTGAGACCTTGAGACCCTGGGAAATTGGCGCTTGAAAGCCCATGTAACTCCTAATCGCCTGCGAGTTCACGTAGGCCTCAGCGGGTGTGTGAGTGTTGGCCACGAGGGTCACCAATACATACGCACGTGATGGAGCTCGCATTCGAAATCCAGGTGTCGAAGCCAATATTCTTGGAAATCAAATTTATTCTCTACCTAACTCTGAAAAGCGGAACCAGCGAAGAATCGTCTTTTATGTGATCCACTTGTACCCGGCGAGATACGCAAATAAAATGAGACACTCCGAAGCTCCATATGACCTCTCCCTACCGCCAATGACCGAGTTAAACATCAACTAACGGTCCCAAAACTGTGATGGTTTGACCATGAAAAACTCTACTTTTCTTTTGTCACAGTTGCGTTCTGTGGCGTGAACGTCAGAGGCACGTCCGCCGGGCTTTGAGCGATGATATTCTGCACAATGGGTCCGAGTTGCGCATCAATAGGTGTTTCGTTAGGGGACCAGCCAAGCTCGACGGGGAACCTCTCATTGCCTGGAGTTTGTTAGCTTCTCTTGCATTCATGAGGATTTTTTGCTTGCGACATACGGAAGAAGTACTCCAGGAACGTCCTGTTGGCAACGGCAACGTCCGGGTCACCAAAGATTGCCAGCAAGAATGCGTTCTCGCCAACAATAACGGGGATCTGAGCATCGGTGATCGAGAAAGTCGGGTTGATGAGACTCATATCGAAAGCATGTCGAGCTCGAGCGTTGGCAATCATCGTAATGTTGATGGCCTCCTCGTCTCCAAAGTAGCTCACGAAGTTATCAAAAGTCCCCGTATCGAAAGAGTTGGTGGGGTCAAAGATGGCGTCTTTGCGAGAAAGACTGCCATCATGCTCGATGACATTGTGTGCATGGAGCATTTTCAAGTCGAAGAACTTTGCGCAAGATTAGTACAAAGCATTTCTCTCGTTGGAATATTGAAGTCTCAGCGGTAAGCGAAGAAAAGCAGGGATGACTCACAGTTGCATTGGGAGTAGGGTTGACGACGAGGGCATTGTTGAAGATGTTGAGGGCGGGCGCTTCGGGGACATTTAGCGCATCGTTGAGAGCCTTGATAAGGATGTCCTTGGTGATGTTTCGGCCGTCGTGGGGGACGAAACCATGGTTGGAAAGAGTGTTCATGACCGGGCATGGTGCTCGTTCTACATTATTCCATTAAGTCGGCTTGGGTGTGCAAATCGTATAGACGTGCTACGAGACTCACGATCATTAGGACCCGGGGGACTCCAAGTGAAATGGTTTGGCTTCAGGGTTCCCCAGGATTCATTTCCTGATTTTAATCCCTTCAGTCCCTTGCTGGGCGGCAGAGCAAAGCGAGTGTTCGGGTAGGCGAAGTGAGGGAAAGTCTGAACGACGGAGGCAGCCCCGATGATGGCCGGCAAAGAGAAATGCATGTCTTAGTCGGTTTTAGGGGTGATTCCTATCGGTAAATGAGGGACTAGATTGTTTGCGGTTCAATGTGGCCTGTGATTAAGCGGTGATTCAAAATTTGGGTCTATCCTATACTGGCTGAAGGCAGCAATAGCTTTATATCATTCTCGATCATCGGAATCGAGGATCAATGAACTATAATTTCTAATTCCAAACATGTCACTGGCTAGTTGCTCAACTATCACTTGGGTCGACGAGAGCCTGTCACAGATGCTCTAGCTGAATCGCAAGGTGGAACTGCACCACTGCAGTGCAGCTGAGCCACAGACATGGATCCACTCGACAACGAAAACGAAAACGAAGATGAGGCTCATTTTCTGCCATTGTTGTCCCAGATTGCTGTAGGAAAATCATCGTTATCGTTCCCGTAGGGCTGATGAAACCGTGTCAGCCAATGTGATTTCAGGAGTTGTAATCTGCCAAATACTATGCATCCTGTCCCAAATACGCTACCCGTGGCTCATCACGCATTCTATCCTGCTGTTTGCTTGGCGCCAGCGAGACCCAGCGCCTGTATACGTGTATTAAGGTAGTCCGGCAACACAAAATGGTTATGCTCTGTTAGAGAGACCTAATCAAGAGGAACCCAGCTGTGCCTTGACATACAAAGAACTGACCTATTGACTCGATAGATCGCCTAGCCACAAACATATGAGTTGTTCCTCCGAAAAGAAAGTACTAACCATCATGGTAGGGAATCAGTAATTGAATACTTGCATCACTACTCAGGATCTTGATACAGAGACATCATTTCTACCGCCACGTTTTTCAGTTTTATTAGCTCCACGAAGACTCTCGAATGATCCCATGTATGCCTCGTATCGGCGCTTTCTCGCGATCTGGATGTACCATCAACTTTGGAGACACTGATGCCTCTAGCGGGCCATCAAATATCTGCATACCACAGACTATGGATACCAATCAGCTGACAAAATTATTCATGATGACGAGTTTGGATGGCTCAAGTCAAGACTCTAGAACTACTGCGGTGGTAAGATCAGCAAGACAAGGATATGTGCTCATGCAGGGGTGGTACACTGTTTCTGGGGCACTCCGACTTTGTACGCAGACGTTAGCTTTTTTACCATAGCATTCCCAATCTCTTGGAGTCATACCCTAGTACTGGCTCATACTTACATGTGGTCTGTACTATTCGTACATCTTCTACATCCTCACTCGAGACCTCAACAAAGAAACAGATTGCAAGGGACCAGACTTGGTACTTGGCAATGCGTTCTAAGAGCTTGCCCCCCCTTTCCGATGGCTACCAGCGAGGAGACATCTTCATGCACGTATCCATACGCGTATATGGGTGATATCCGTCGGGAAGTTGAGAAACTCCGAGATCGCTTTCTGCCTTACCAACTATGTGATTCCCAGCCGAAGCTGCGGTTAAGATATTTTCCCCGAGGAACTGGCACGGGGAAGCTTGGCTACTGGGGTGATGATCTAGCTTAGTAATAGTAGCAGCCACTCAAGGCAGCCGGAATACGAAGCTTTGTAGTCAAGCATAAAGTTGAAACTGCGGACAGACTACCTAGTCATTTCCAGAAACATGGTCCATTAGCAATTAACGACTCATGATTCGCAGAAACACTTGTAACTTCATTCACTGGAGATTTTCACATGGCTCAGGCAAGTACTGCTTAGAGTCAACCCCTAAAAAGCCGCTGCCTTAGTTGTTCTCATTATAACCGGGTCATAGTTGCACTGAACTCTTCCTGGAACTTATCCCCGGTCTTCTAGCTTCTACCAAACGTCATGATATCCAACGACGCCCTCTCATTAGTCTATTCCGCCACTATTCACACTGCTCCGCTCTGCTTCGTGCTGCGCTATTCTTTCTCGAACTTCATAGGCTCCAAGATACCAGAGGAGATTTCGACGTGCTTGGCGAAATTAGGCTCCCAGCGCTTCCGAGCTCCCATATCGAAGGCGGACCTATCATCTGAGTGCCTTACTCGTGTCTCCCGGCAGGAAAGCAAATAAACCCCCTATCTACCTTATATCGTCATGTCTCATCAAGCAGGCAGGATGTTTAGGTCCTGTTGCTACATCAAACCTTGCACCTCCTCGAATCCTTGCGAGTTATAGAGATAGAATCTCGACAGTGATCAATTGAGATTCGCTGCGGTGAAGGCAAGCTAGTACGGGATCCAAGGTAAAGGTCCCACAGATCATGCAGTAGGCTTCACTGTGGCTGATACTGATCGGAGAGAAGATGCGAGAAGCACGCCCAGTCCCATCCGATTCCATCAGACAGACTAGGCGACCATTCGTCGCCAGCCATGGGCATCGCGCCAAAAGAGTCGAATCCAAACTCGGTTCCGCCGGGAAGACTGTTTCCTTGGTTGTAGAAGGGCATTGTAGAACCAGGCATATTGACACCTGATTCCCTGCGACGGCTGTCGTCACTGCCAGACCACTGAGCATCTACCGATCTGGGGGTCGGTGTCTCCCCAGCGTTCTGCCAAGGGCTGGTTTCCGGCATGGATCTCGGAGTCATGGATGGCAAGGTAGTAGTTGTCCGGTTATCTGACGATCCAGGCGTCGGTAGCCCTTTGTGTAGAAACGAATCGAGCTTTTGTAGCAGCATGTCCAGTAAGCCGTCGCCCCGAAGCCTCGTGTATATCTCTCTCATAGAGTCTGAGGCGGTTTGGATGAGCTTTAAGCATGTTAGTGACGTTACGGAGGTCGCTTCACAGCTACTTACGTGTAGGTCCATGGTTGAGATGCGAGAGTCAGGGTGCGTTACGACGTGAACAGCTAGTGTTGAGAGAGCGTGGAGTGGTGCCAGAAGGTTCGGGAGAATCGCATTCGACTTGGAGTCTACCGCTTCGACGACTATTCTCAGGACTTTTCGGGCGGCATTAGCCGCGAGAGCTTGTCCGTTTCGCATGATATAGTCCCATGGTTTGCCTTTGGCGATCATGTCGGCGCCAGAAGTGATTGCCTCTTCACTGATTAGAAGACTGTTTCGCGAGAGGATCACGAGACTGCGATACGACGGATTGGTGAGATGTGTTTGATACGATAGGATGAGAAGGTCACTTACGCATTATTATAATGCATCGATATGAATGATGCGAAGGGGCACTGTTTTGAGCCGATCAAGATGTCTGATATCGGTCTGGGGTCCAACATCGTCAGCTTCACCTTATTACGTGTCAGCATTTATGAGGCACAGTCAAACGTACCTAAGCTCATCAGGCACTGATTCACCCCATCTTGTGAGGAGCAGCTGTGCCTCACCGGTAGTCTCAACCTTTTCAGCTATGATAGCTTGTAGTGCACCGTCTCGGAGTCCGTCTTCCTTCCGGCTAACGATAACAGCCTTTCTTCCGATTTCGCTGAGTATTCTCGCAAGGTCGACAGTCACAGGAAACGCCTTTTCTCTTGACGAAGTACCGTTGCCCGTGGGCATATCGACATGAGCCGGGTAGCACTCTTCATCCTCTATTGAAGAAAGGCGGCCCAACTCGAACGCCAAGAACTTTTCAAAGGCATAGATGCCGAGCCAAAATGCCTTGCGCTCTTCATCATCGACAAAGTCTGGCCTCTTGTCGGGGCGATTGGCCTTGCAGCCCCGACACGTGCGAGCTTTGTGCAGGCCCAGCGACATTGCGATGGAAACCCCCGTAGTGAGAATATTCCAAGCCCCAGCGCACTCGTCATAGCAGTGAAGGCATAACGCGAGAAGCGCCAACGATCTAACAGTCTCGACGCCATTGACGGTGACGAGGTGGCCGATGAGGGTCTTGCAGTAAATTACATAGTCTCCGGGATCCAGTGTAGGTTCTGAAAGTGCCGCGGAAGCAAACGCGATAGACATAACGAGGTAAACCGAGACCAAGGCTGCTAGCCCTCGTGCCTCGGCGAAGTTTATCGGGCCGAGTTCCACGGCTGTGTCGATGTCCCGCATGAGACGGTCTGGGTTGAACAGAGGATAGACCATATTAATACCTTCGAGGTAGCGGGCAGCAAGCTCGCGGGCAACCTCTTTGGGGGGGAACGAGCAGGGTTCAGACGACAGAATGCGGTAAGCCGGCGGCCTGTCTGCACGTGTTGGCATGCCGCGCCTTTGTTGGATCCCTAGCCGACGCGCAGCAAGGTCCAACCAATCGCCGAGGATCTCGACTGAGTTGTTCCCGCGGCTGGGACGTACTACAGGTAGCTTTCCTTGATACTTGGGCGGGCCCGGGCAGGCGGGAGGCTCCTCGTCTTCCAGGATAATAGTAGCGGCGGCATCCTTGGGAACCGTTGGGGGCTTTGTAAATGCTACCGTTGCGGACTTCGGAGCTGCTACCGAAGGTGTCCCGGTATGGCTGTAGAGCAGCTCTACTGAAGGTGAAGTCTTGGCGCGGGCGTCCGGCAGTGGCGGCACCGGCGGCGGCTCGGAGCTCTCGACTTCCTCTCGAGGCGAGTGTGGAGACGCGACGGCCGTCAGAGAATGCGTCAGGGACGCGCTGGATGCCCGGGACAGGCGGCGCTTCGTCTCACGGCGCTGGACCTCAACGCCGGGCCTCCGGCGGTCCGTCGTGACGCACTCGATGCCGGCGTTGATGCAGGCCCTACATGAGGGCTTCTGCTCATCACAACGCGTCTTTCGGTTGCGGCAATAGTTGCAGGCGAAGTTGATTCGCCGCCTCTTGGCCACCGACGCCCCCGAGGTGCCCTCGGAAGACTCGACGACGGCCGTGGACTCGGTAGCCGCGGGTGTGGGTACGGGGTGGTTCGTATATGATGACATTGCCGCGCGTTGCCTGTGTGGTGTGTGAAATGTCCTCACATACCTAGTCGGAACCTGAGTATACTCCACTGGGCTTGGCTGGAGTGGTACGCTTACTGGTTGCTGACTGACTGGGTTGTTCGGGAGCTGGAGATGAGGGTCGGCTGGGTAGGTTAAGATGCCGAAGCGCGTCGTTATGAGGAGTACTTTGCGTTTCCGAAACTTGTACAGACGGCACGGCCCAGGAAGAACGAGAACATCGAATGACTCGCGGAAGCGTTTCGGGAGGTTTTTTGGTGGTGGACACTGCGCAGGCCGACCGGCCCCTCGTTCCGGTTGACGCGATGATCAGCTCGGAATAGTGGGGGAGGCAGAAGTTGGACAATCTGACATGGCGTTTGCTGTAATTCTTCACAATGACATGTCTTCTTGATCCATAAGGCTCTGCAAGCGGTTAGACTCTTTAGATCTTCCCCATGGGGTTCCAATGCAGGCGAACATGGGGAGCAGTATCCATACGGAGTCCATGTATGGATAGGCTTAGCCCCTGCTCTCGGTACGAATACTATTGGTCTTTGCGATGTTTAATACCATGACCATCGGGAGATGATGGGTCTGAGCCGAGCCGACAGCCCAATGAAGCTATTCTCTGATAATGGCCCCCCTTTGATTGGACCAAGGTGCACTACATAGAAGTAATTCTTTGAGATTCAATAGATTCAACGGGAACATCTAGTGGGATTATAGACAGCTGAGACAAGGAAACCACCAAGTATCAACAACCGCTCTGATATCAGTTTGTATATAGTCGCAGGCATGGAGCACCGTCAACCGGCCTATGCCGGCATCACGACTTTGAGTTTACTGCTCTGGTCTGTGCTGCGACATTCAACGACGTGCCATCAACTTTCTCGCTCGCCTCACGTCAGACTGCCGACTCCATGATTAGTTGGTACTTGTAGGAGTATTTCTGCCTGTCTTGCCGAAAATGACTGGCACCAAAGATGATGAGCCTCATGTCGATACCATCGAAGGATCGACCACAAAGGCCCTTGCGGAGGAGGACCAGGCATACGGAACCGTGCAGCTACTCCAAGGCGGTTCCATTGTCCTAATTCCCACTCCTAGTCCTGATCCCAAAGGTGAGGCTAACGAGTTTCCCATGACCCATCTTGCCCAAGGACGAAAGCTGTAAAGCAAAGCACATCTAATGCTGACCGCGGGAGATAGACCCTCTCAACCTTCCAGCATGGCACAAGTACCTCATTATTTTTGTTGTCGGCTCATATTCCGCTATCGCCGTTCTCGTCACATCCGGCCTCGGCGCCGTGTTTCCCTCCGTGTTGAAGGAGTACCCCCCCGAAGACGCCAAGCGAGCCTCGGACCTCCTAACATACCCGACCCTGTTCATGGGAATCGGTAACCTCTTCTCCATGCCGCTCTGCGTGACCATCGGGAGGCGGCCCGTATTTCTCATGTCAATGATTTTACTGGTCTTGTCCGGGTTATGGTGCGCTTTCTCGACGTCTCTCAGCAGTCATATTGCCGGTCGAAACTTTTACAGCATCGCCGCTGGTCAGAGCGAAGCGCTGGCGCCCTTCATCATCGAAGAGATTCACTTCCTTCATGAAAGGAGCGCTAAGCTGTCTTGGTTTATTGGTGTTCAGACGGTGGGGACGGCAGCAATGTTTGTTGCGACAGCTTATATCGTCCCTTCCCTGGGGCTCAAGTGGTGGTATCTCATCATTGCCTTCATCAATGCCGCTATCCTCGTCCTTGCTTTCTTCTTCGCTGTAGAAACCAAGTATGATCGGCCGATTGATGCCGACAGTAAGTTCTGCCTCCTTCCCAGGAACCCTAGTCAGCTTGTGCGTGCTCAGGCTAGAAACAAACACTAATACGGTTCCACTGTAGGGGGCGCTGTCCATCTGAAGTTGGACGACGACGGCAACGTCGACAGAAATGGCGACAACGAGATGGTCTTCCAAGTTCTCACGCGAGAAAACCATGTCCTACAACCAGATGTCTTCGGTCCCCGAACCTGGCGCCATAACTTGACGGTCTTCCACTTCAAACCCGAGTGGAAACAGACAGTTATCTTTTACAAGGAGACGCTGCAGTCACTCTGGCTGCCGAATATTGTCTGGATGCTGTTGATTAACGGCGCCTTTTTAGGAATCTACATCTACCAGGCCTCAACTTTTGCGACCATCCTGATGTCGCCTCCGTACACTTTCAAATATGACTGGCTAGGATATGTTCAACTGGTTCAGGTTCTCGACTGCGTCGTCATGGTGCCCCTGCTTGGTTACGGATCTGATATGCTAGCGCGGGCTATGAGTAATTGGAAGAATGGGACTTTCCAGGTAAGAAAGTCTATAGGCTACAAGCTCTACACAGTTTCCAGTGCTTTATACAACTACATGAATCAACGCTAATATTCGAGTCGACAGCCCGAATACAGACTCATCATCCTCAGCATTCCAATCCTATCAGCCATCATCTCCTGCGTCTTTTACGGACAAGCAGGCGCGTACCCGGACCGCTGGCACTGGATGACGATTGTAGCACCTTACAACCTCGGCTACTTTGCCTTCCTTGGAGCAAACCTCATCGGCATCACCTACGCCATTGACAGTTTCCGGAGCAAAGCCGGACCTCTTCTCTTGGTGCTGTGCGCGGGTCGGGGCTTCATCTCCTTTGGTCTGAGTTATTCCACAGTTCCTTTGATCAATCTGATAGGGTACAATGGCGCCATGAATATCTTCGCAATCATTGCGGGTGTCTTGGGGGCCATCACTGTCCCTGTGTATCTGTTTGGGCCGCGTGTTAGGATGTGGGCTACGAAGAGAATTTGGCCTGAGATTGGTTCTCATTAAACAAACGCCAGAAATCCGTATACTAAATTAAAATTACTCGAGACGTATAGCGAATAAGTCTTAGTTGATGCATGAATTTGCCTTCTATTTCTCCAGGCCCAGACGTTCAGTAGTCTCAAGAGCACATACATCGAGTGGTTCAAATGTGTATCCGGGGTCCTTGCACCGAACAGTACCTACTATGCTCTTACTTAGAGTAGTAAGTACTTACCTACAGTATTGATCTTCTTGCGGAACCTCCCAATAATAATTGAATGATCAGTCACAGGTGGACTGCTGCATCTCTGAGCAAAGAGACACGTGGATCCGCATTGAACACTTCCTCTGCGATCTCGATTTCCAAAATCTTGTGCTTCTTCTTCACTAAATCACGTCAAACTATTAAGTATTTCATACGACTTTCAGTGTGGATGAAAAGCGAACAATAGTGCATTGAGACCAGACAGATATTAATTACTTTAAGTAGATAATGAAGACGAACAACTCAATTGCTTAGTATCAAAACAATCCTCGACAGATATTCCGACGATTCTCCCGAAATCCAACCTCACTCGCCCAAGGCATCGATAGGCACCCCCTGGATATACGGAATACCAGTCAACTTGAACCCCCTCTCCGAAAGCTCAGGAACCCGCCTCGGTTTCCCCGTGTTATACGGACACGGCTCCCCATTTCTCAACACCGGAATCCCGCCAACATGCATCGCATTAGGCCAGTGCGTCGTGCTCTTCAATTCCTCAAACGCACCCTTCTTCCTCACCAAGTCCTCCTGCGACGCCTCGGACGCTGGCATGTAACAAGTATACACGCAAAACCGTGGCGACGTCCCCTCCGGACTGAGATTATAATGCGGCGTCCGGCTGTCCCACAACAACAAATCCCCAGGCTCGGCATTAACCTTGACCCACTCGCACCCGCGGTCCTTGAGCCACTGCATCCCCCGGTCCGTAAACCCATACCACTCCTTCGTCCAAGCCCAAATCTTGTCCTCCTCCCCGCGGAACGCCTCGTGGAACTCCTCGGAGAGCAGGTGCGCGCCCTTACAGACGATCAACCCGCCGTCGCGGTCCCCATTCGGGAGGAGATTCACCAGGCCCTGGAGGCAGCGGAAGCCGGGCTTCTCCGGGTCCTGGTCCTGATGCGGCCAGGGGGTGTTCGGCTTCACGTCGGGCCGGTTGGGGAAGGCCATGTTGACGGCGTCAAAGGAGACGATGAGGTCGGGCGTGTCGTAGACTTTTTCAAAGGCGTCGACGAGGCCTGGTTCTTGGCGGATTGCCCAGGTGAAGGATTCGTGGGCGACGCCGTAGCCTAGGCACATTCCCTTTTCGGTGATGATGGGGAGGTTGGATTCTTTGATGGTCGTTGAGTCATTGCGGTTGAACCCGAGACCTCCAGCGCTGTAGTTTGTGAGTTAACTAAGGTAGGGACTTGAGAATTTTGGGTGGGTTCGATACTTACAAGTTCTCGAGATAGTACATCATTTCCTCGCTATAGTTGTCTGCTCTTTCGCGGGGAATGGCGCCCTTGACCACGACGTAGCCGTCTCGGAGGAGATCATCGCGGAAGTCCCCAAATACTGCGCCTTCCTGTGAGAAGAGTCTATTGGGGCCCGCTGGCTGAGGCTTCAAGGGAGCTGTGGATGGTGGATTGGTGTTAATCTTCTTGCTTTCTGGGACTGGGATGGTTGCCAGCGGCTTTGCAAAGTCGGTAGCGATGACCATTGTTGGATTGTCAGACGGTGAAACGTTCTCTGGTATATACTAGTAGGTTTGTGAGATACAATGCTTTAGTAAAGCTTGATCTTTTCCAGACGTCTCTCATGTCTATTTGACGGACTGAATCGTAGTGTTTATAGACAATGTTTGATAATCCCAGATGTCCGCCCGATCGAGACACTTTCTGCCCACCAAGCCGTAAGTCCAGACTATTACCTTTGGCTGAGGCAGATGCAACAACTCTACAGAAACTTCCGCTATCCTCCCGACATCTGCTCCTAGTGCCTAGCTCCATACCTCTCGGTACGGCGCGGGAGAGTGGTGGGGGATATTCACTCCATTGGAACGGTACGTTCGGAGCGGAATGCGTCGGTTCGGCATCGGTTGGTGCAGTCTAAGTCGCTCGGTTCGGGAGTTGGCGGGCCTCTTTTCTTCCCGACTTGGACGACACTTCCACCCCACTGGCGGCCGGGACAACGATTTCTATTTTTCATCCATTCGGAGGACTGGCAGAAGGGTACAGTCGATTGGAAATTGTCAAGCCCATAGTTATGAAGTCTCTAGAGATGGCGTTTCTACAAGTAGACCGGGACTTGCAACCGGGGATCAACATTCTCATCGGACATACTGTGAATCGCTCTCCGACTTGAGACACAAATCAGCAAGAGGAAAGCCCTTGCCACAATGCCATCTTCCGGGTTTCCCAGTCTAGAAGTCCCAATCGAGCCGCTGAGTGCCCCAATAGTCGGTCGCGATGGCTACGTCGGCCTCAACCCACACACAGAAACCCTCCCCGCGGGCTGGAAATACCCTCATCCGGACGCGCGCCCCTTACCCTCCGCCATCCTAATAGAACACGATGTCGCCATCAAAGTTAGAGACGGAACGACCCTCTACGCAGATGTCCTCCGCCCGCCAAACACCACAAACAAAGTCCCCGCGCTGATATGCTGGTCCCCCTTTGGCAAGAAATTCAACGGCCTCGCATCGCTAGGTTACATGACGCCCTGGAACCTCGGCATCCCCTCCAATACGCTCTCCGGCCTGGAAAAGTTCGAGGCGCCCGACCCGGCAGATTGGGTTCCCCGCGGCTACGCCATCGTCAACATCGACACGCGTGGCGCTTTTGACAGCGGCGGTAGCGAGACTCCGATGGTCATCATGGGCGCTCAAGAAGCGGAGGACGGGTACGACGCCATCGAAGCCGTGGCGGAGATGCCGTGGTGCAGCGGCAGCGTCGGGCTGGCGGGGAACTCGCACCTCGCCATTGCGCAGTGGTTTCTCGCGGCGCTTCGGCCGCCGAGCTTGAAGGCCATTGCGCCGTGGGAAGGGTGCGGAGACTTGTACCGCGAGCAATTTGCGCGGGGAGGCGTGTACGCGGGCGACTTGTTTGACGAGCTCATTGTCAAGCATATGCTGAAGGGTCGCGGTGGCATCGAGAGCTTCCGCGAGATGTATGCGCGGCATCCGCTTGCTAACGCGTGGTGGAATGACAAGAGGCCGGATATGAAGCGGATCAACGTCCCGACGTATATTACGGGCACGTGGACGAACACGATGCACGGGATGGGTGCTATCCGGGGCTGGTTGGAGGTGCAGTCGAAGGACAAATGGCTGAGATGGCATCCATGGCAGGAGTGGTTTGACCTTTGGGGGAACTCGCAAGCCAAGGAGGAGCTCTTCGCGTTTTTCGACCGGTATCTCAAGGGCGTCGACAACGGCTGGGAGAAGACGCCTAAGGTGAGAATGTCCTTGCTGCGGTTTGGTCAGAAGATTCCACAGGCGATTGAGAACATCGCCGAGGAGGACTTCCCACCGGCGCGGACGCAGTATAAGCAGTTCTTCCTCAGCACGGAGGAGACGCTCATTCCTGATGCTGCGCCGCAGGAGATGGCGTCGGTCAGCTACGACTCTGAGTCTAGCGGGAACGTCAGCTTCACTCATACCTTCACCGAAACCACCCGCATCATGGGCCTGCCCAAAGCCGTGCTGTACATTTCCTGCCCAGATCACGACGATATGGACGTGTACGTCATGATCCAGAAGCTTGATTCGGACGGCAAGCAGATGAAGAACCTCAACATTCCCTGGAAGGGTATCCCAGTGAATTCGTTTGAGGAGTTCGCACCAGAGCAAGAGACGGAAGTCGTGCTGTACAAGGGACCCGTTGGCATCCTCCGGGCCTCTCACCGGGCCATCGACAAGACCAGGAGCATGCATCCGCACTGGCCTTTCCACCCGCACGAGAAGGAGGAGAAGATTCCGCCGGGCGAGGTGGTCAGGCTAGATATTGGGATCTGGGCGCTTGGGGTCGAGTACGAGGCAGGAGAGAGCCTGCGGGTTGTAGTCAGCGGACAGAGCTTCGCCGTGAGTAATTTCGGGAAGAATCATACCTTGAATAAGGGTCAGCATATCCTACACCTTGGGGGTAGCCAGGCAAGCCACATTGTTCTTCCTTTCGTATAGATAATATCAAACTTGATCGCCGATGAAGGCTTCGAACAGCTTTCATCATCATGGGTACGCGTCTCATGCCATGCTTTGACTGTTCCACCAAGCTCAGGAAGGAAGGAGTTACGTTGGGGGTGGGATAACCCGCCCTGAATACTCGCTTGAATACACACCCGAGAGAACACACAAGAAGCCAATATAGCCCCCCTCAATTCCATTCCTGTCACCAGCACAGCAGGCGCCTTCCTAGGTCGGTTGGTCAGGTCAAACTGCCTGGGTGGTGGAGTGGTTAATGGTCAACAACTAATTTCTACACCAACAAGCCTACTCGACGACAGGCTCAGCGCATACGAGAGTTCCCGAGTTCGAATCCCAGCGTGAGCACCAAGAGATGTAACCACACCTGTGGTGAACTCTTTTTTTGTTATCTGCTCTCGTAATAGTGGCTTTAAGTGGGGGATTAGCATTGACTATGTAGATGATGTTGAACGCGAATAGAAACTTATCCAAGCCCTCAACATGTTCCTTAAACCGTGCTACGGAGGACTTGAGCTCCCACTCTCCTTGATACTGTCTCGAAAGCTCCTTTTACTGGGCAGATCTCTTGAAGGACATACCGAGAGAACGGGCCAGAAAGAATAGCATTAGCAGTAGTAATCACGGCGGAAGTAGCATTGGTCGTAGATTTCAAAGCTAATGTGTTTAGCGGTAGGCTATCCTGTCGATGGCAGTGACAGTATCCTTGGCTGGTGGTTAAGTGTTTGGAGCCTAGAAGGCGGAGACAAGTGGATGAACCCCGAGTCTCTGAAGTTTGCGCCGCACTGAGCACAGAGATAACCCCGGACTGTCTAGATAGTCACACTGCCAAATGAGATAGGTAGCAAGATATTCTCTGTTTGCAACGTTAATGCTGGACGTCTAAGTCGATGGTAGTACCTCTGAAGCACACACATTAAGCCGCAAGATTGGAGGGGCATCTGGCGTCGCGTTCGTGTTCGCCGTGTACCCTTGCAATCAGCGAGCCGTCGGGATTGGTAGCAACAGGGATATTGAGTCTTCCGTTGGTTGCAGTGCTTCACATTGAGTGATTTCCAGCCCGGATTCAGGGAAACTTCCACCTTCCCTTGGAGAGTTGGCGTTGTGACTGTGATGAAAGACATGATGACACAGCTAATCTAATCGAGTGACACCGGCAGTGGGAGAACGTAAGAAGACATCATTCTGGACTCCTGGAGGGGTCGATCGGCGGACTTGTAGACCACTGAGCTCACCGCCCTAGGTTTCATCGGTCGCTGCGCAAGCGTATACGCCGGCTCTGGGTCGGGCATGCGCAACGGGACGCCGCGGGCGCGTCCTCTGTCACATCGCGGGCCGCACTCCAGACGCCGGTTCGCAGTTTGAGTTCAAGCAACGGCTGCACCTGTTCGTTTCCTGTGTTGTGTGTCACATTAGGAACTGAGAGTCACGGAGGACCATGAAAGGGAGAACTCAATCTACTGGTTCCCCCCATCGATCGGCCTTGCATGATGTGGATACTGGACAGAACGGTCCCGATAGAACAGAAGGGAGATGGCAGACCATCAAGACCGAGGGCAGGAGATGGCAACTGGGCGCGCGCGCACAGCCTTGGGCAGAGGTTGGTGGGGCCAGCGGAACGTTAACCAGATTCCGGGAACGCTATTTTGGGGGTTTGGAGGCGTTGGTGTGGGCGGGGCCTTGGGCCTCGGTGACGGTGGCCGGAGGCGTTAATTAGATGCGTGGAACTGGCCGGGGCAGGATGCGTAGTTTGGCGGGGATATCTGTAGAGGTCGGAGTTGGATTGGCTCGTTGTGAGTGAAACTTGTACGGAATGATGCGGAGTCTCAACTCAATGGACACTTGCGGACGATGGTCGTACGAAAAGAGACTGATCGGAGCCCGTAAAAGCTGACGTTCGTCGGGATGGTCGGGAATGGTTTGATGAGCCTGGCGACAACGTGTATTCGTACGAGAACTTTGGACAGAGGAGCTATTGCAGACTTGGACGCGGCGGAAGCAGACGGCGCAGAGTCAAAAGCCGACGGTTCTAAACGAAGGAAGCAGTCGCATCGAAATGGGCGCAAATGGAGCGGTTCATGCCGCGGCGTCGTGGCGCTACCCAATCGGCCTTGTACGAGATGAGGAAGCTGTCAATATCAGGTATCAATGTGACCTCCCGTTGTGTCTATCGATGGGCAGTCGCAAGACTTGTTGCGCTTTGACGGTGATAGTAAGGGAAGCGACTGCGACCAAGACCCTGGAATCGCCGTCGGGTCTTCTTCTACTTCTTGGTGAGAGACGAGACTCGGTACGGACGTAGCAGTCGGCGGCCGGATATCCGTCTTTCGTACAACATTGCCTCAGTATCTGCCAGGGGACTGTCAGCCGTTGTCTCTAACACCAACCTCCTTCTTGTAAGCAAGGCCTGCGGTTGGAGCAATGGAGGGACACCACAACGACTCTCGACATCTTGCCTGCGTCTTTCGCAAATCGACCCCTCTCTCGTTGCCCCTTTTGCAAGTGAGTGTGATATGGCGCGCCCCTTGAAGATGCATATGGACGGCAGAGTCAGCCTGCAGCCGGGGAACTGGGGAAGACCTTGCTTCCATCAGGTTGGAATCGTCTCTTATTGGGTGTGAAGGAGGAAGATGCAGAGAGGGAGAAGAAGCAGCAGGGATGGCAGCTCGGAGCAGATTGGACGGCGTGCATAGGACCCACCAGAGGCACGTACCCCTGCATAACGTGTGCACAAATTCAATGACCATGGTTTATTACATAATCACGTACAGAACCCACAAGTGCTGACTTATGCAAGGAGAGCTCGGGCCATGAGTAGCGGCTGTTAGCGCCGGCGCCATTGAGAAGGAAAAATGAAAAGCAAAATTCTAAAAGAGAAATGCCCGAGCTCCAAGCTCTCATGTTAGTCGGCATTTCCACATTGCGCACCCGCATCTTCACCGTAAAGGAATGCAAGATTGACAATGTGTGAGCAGAGGTCATAGCGATGACTGACCTGAGGGTCCGAAGGATCTGACAGACAGCTGAGCAAGTTGCCAAATACTTGGGTTAGATAAACATTGGATGAGAACGGGATGGGAGCAAGCAGCGGCAAGACAGACCATCGCCACATGCACATACCCGTCTCATGACTTCATTGCTGCCCAAACAGCTCCTTGGAACCTGGAGTTTGACTGACAGAACCTGCTGGAGATGTCGATCGATGGCGAACGTGCTTCTCATACCTTTTACTTTCTTAGCCAACACACTTTGTGAGTTGTTACTCACGCAACGTGCCGCTAAGTGAGAGACTAGCGACTGACGGGTGCCGGCCGTCGGCACTAACAACGGCGACCTCTGCGCCAGGCAATCTCCCCTGTCCGATGCTATTCCTGTTCCTGACCTGGCGAGCTTGGGAGTTTGCGCGGGCGCGCCAATTCTCAAGGTTTGGTGAAGATCCGACCAGAGCCGAAGAAGAGAGCAAGCAGGGACAGGTCAGGCACCAAGCGATCAGAGTGAGGCGCAACCGCTTGACTGGTTGATCCGATTGAGTGTTCTCGGATATGGATTGGTTCGAGAGAAGCAGAAAGACGCGTTGGTGGATGGGAAAAAGCAAGAATATTGTTTGTCTTTGGCGAGCATCTGTGCAAAGGTATTTCGCTGGGTTTTGCTCGTCTTTCCTCTGCTTGACTGGTCTGAATTGATGGTCTGATGTCTTTCTTTTGCAGCGTTAGACCGTGGAAGAGGTTGCACTTGTTCAGTTGAGGTCCTCTCACCTGCGACCTCACCTCATTGTCACTCACTCACATCTCACCTTTCGTCCTGAGACTCACTCTCACTCTCATACGGCCACAGTAATCCAGCCATCTCGCCACGCCTGAGATTTCTATTTCCTTCTCCTTGCCTCCGACATTCACTCATCTTCATCACCAACACTAACGAATACTTCGTACATCACCAACAATCGACTTGCGTCACCTCATCCTCTAACGGCCTTCGCCCAACCTTCCCCCACCGCCATCCCTGCACCTACTGGCCTTATTCTCTGCTGCGCATCTCTCACCTCCGTCCAACCATCGCGTCTGATCCATCACATCCCACCTCATCCCACTCTTCACCTGCAAGGGTCTGCACCCTGCCGCATCTTGTCACTCGTTTTGCTGCCAATTGGCGAATAATTCAACCTTGGGAATTGCTGCCTTTGCTGCTTTCTGACCTCCCCGCGTACTGCATGCCTGCAGTTGGTCGCATCCACATAGTTCCACACCCTTAAGCCCCCTGCAGCTACCCTCGTCACTTTTGTTCCGTTGCATCAGACGCCCTTCCAAGTTCCTTCTCCTGCGTGCGTATTCCCGTCACCCAAGGTTTCCTTTGCGCCGCCAGCTGTGTGTGTCTCTTTCTCCTTCCGACTCGCGGCCGATCATTCGAGAGGACACAGAAAGAAATGTGCTACCTGCTCCGTCATCCTCGCCAATCTCCGTTTCCTCTACCACGAACTGCCATCGCCAGATTCTCTGCGCGCGGGTCAACACCGCTACCACCATTATCTTCCATCATCGCAACCAAGAGCCGAACCCCGTCGTCGCCTTCGCATCGCTAGGCTTCAATTGGCCAATATAACAGATAGCCCTGTCGATCGGTCGCTATCTACTACTCTCCAGTGCTCAAGGGTCTCTTTTCGGAGCGAGATCCTCTAGCTACTTTCCACCATTATTGACCAGGTCGCCTGTCGTTTCTCAGACGACGCCAACATTGTTGTCCATCGCAACTCCAGCATTGCTCGCGAACACGACATTGACGGTGGCAATCGGCAGAAGACGCCATCCCATCTTGTTGCTAACAATCATCAACATCATCACCATCAGCATTCACTATTTCAGCTCAGTTCTAGATACCCAGTATTTCCTTGCCCTGCGTTCCCAGCCTCTCTAGTCAGCTTGTCTGGGTTCTTGCGACCAGGACCCTCCGTTTGTCCCACCAAGCACCACGCAGTCGAGACATTCCAGCATATCTGCCCCTCGTCAATTGAGACATTCCTGCGCCATCGCGACAGACATCCGTAGTTCGGACTGCGGCGGTACAGCGTCTGCGACACGGCCCAACCTCCAACGCTGGACCCAACTGCCGATCCGACGTTGTGGGAGAGAAAAGACCCGACTCGAGAGTTCGCCCGCTTGCCCTGCCTTTCCACGTTTCCATCGGTTCATGGCGAGCCATCCGACGTAACGCAATCCTCCCTCTAGACAGCCCATCGGTTCTCCCCTCGGGTTTCTTCTCAATAATTACTACGGACCAGGAGAAGAAACAAAAAGACAATCTTACGGCACTTCCACCACATGCCGCCATCAGCAGTCGCGTAGGCCCAACGCTGCAGAAACCAGGTTCCGGCCTGTTCTCTCGCAATAGCAGCTCTCTTATACCTTCAAAGCGCACCCACAGCCACGACTCAACGAGTTTGCTACCACTTCGATTCTCCTCTGGCTGTCGCGCCGTGTCCAGGGATTCCTTTCCCTACTATTCAATCACCAAAGACATCGATTGCCCTTCCCGTGCTCACCCCCCTTCAGCTGCGTTAGCTTGACGCAACTGCCATTCGCGCTTCTGCACCTCGAACAGGCATCATCCCGATTCACGACGCCTTGCTGTCGCCCAATTCGGTCACTCACCACTCCAATCCGACTGCCGACGTGATCCTTTGGGCTAAAGAGCCGTCTGATAACACGAATTTCTAGTTCGACTTGCATACAGGCGATTGCTCTTGTGCAATCGGATCAGCGAAAACACGCCGTAGTTTCTTTTCCTTAGACACAATGGACAGTCTTGCGCGGACACAATCGCGCGACCGCGAGAGGTCACTTCCCTCTCCAGTCTACCCTCGTCCATCTTCGAGATCAAGTACAAGTACCAGTGCAACCCGACGTACACCTCGCAGCGCAAATAGTTCGACCTCACAGTTCGTTACCTCGCCGCGACCTCCCAGTTCCCATCCCGCCCATAAGTTCCACCACAGCTCCTGTGCCCCGTCGATGGTGAACTCCCGGCCTGGGTCTGCTGTGTCAAGAGACCGAATCTCCGACTCTGGAAGGCAGAGCGCCGCGTCCACATATCTCCAGGACAAACTCCAGAGGAGAAGGGAGGAAGCTGATAGGTTGGCCGCGGTACGGTCAACACAAGACATGAGCGCCTCCGTAGAATTACCAGCACGACATGCACAGAGCTCTCCCGTGAAAGGCGAGTCCGTTGATGGACGTCGGCCAAGATCAAGTGGAGGCAATGGAGAATCTGCAAAAAGTAAAGGCATGGGAGCCAAAGAGATGGAGGCAGTAAGTAACCCTGGATTACATGTCCGTGTAATACCGTTTGCTGATAGCTGCCTCGACAGACTGTTTCCACATTGCACAAGCAAAACTTTGACCTCAAGCTCGAGCTCTTCCATCGCCGCGAACGACAAAATGCGCTCGAAGAGCGAGTCGACGCTCTCGAGTCTGAGAAAGCACAGATAGACGATGTGAACGACAAGCTGCTCGACGAGTTGGAGAAGCGGGACAAGGCTGTGCAGGAGGCGGTCCAGATGATAGTGACTCTTGAGGCCCAGGTTGAGACGCTATTGAAGGAGCGAGAAATGGTCCGAGTAGTCGACGCAGCCAGCTTTCTACCCCTCGACGACCTCGACTCTCGTCTCAGAAGCCCCACGCCCAAGCCTAGAGTAGCGGACCTGGCACGACTTGAAGATGACGCTAAGACGCTCAACCGCATGCCCAGTTTCCTATCGGACTACACCGGAAACACCGAAAACCTACGAAAAGTCTACCTCAGCTCGCGCGGTAGCCTACTCAGCCTACCAAGGCTCAACACGGAGGGAGTGGATGATACGGACCCGCGTCGTGGTAACGGCATGACAAGCCCGAGCCTCAGCGTCCTCAGTGAAAGTTCCTTTGTAAGTGTGTATGGCGAGAAGGAAGACCAGGATCAAACGATTGTGGCCGATGCAGACGAGCCACACTCTATAGATGGTGCTTTACCTCACTCCGGGCCGCCTCGAAAGGCGTCATACGGAAGCGACCAGTCTAGGGTACAGAGACCACCGACCACCATGTCGACACGATCCAGTCGCCCGAGTAGGTCCAGTTCAACCGGTCGGGCTCCTGGTCCAGGCCAGTTTCAGTCGCTCCACGACATCATCGATCACACCTCGCCCCTCCAGAAGCTGGCGAGGCTCGATCATACCTACCTAGATAGCCTACCCGCTCAAGACTCTTCTCCGATGGCAGGAAGAGGGCAGTCGCAAAAGCAGATCAAGGATGCGAAGCGTGAAGCACTGCGGAAAGTAACCACAGATGCGCTAGCTTCACGCCCTAGCGAGGGCCTGCCTCCGACGCCTGACACCATCTCCACATCAACGCTTCGAAGATTTAAGACGTCGAATGACACGCTCTCGAAGCAACGAGCTGTGTCGGATCAACATAGCTACCGTTCAGTATCAAGGGGCACGTCCAAGGATGATGAGGGGGAGCACGGTGGAGGTGCACCGGTATTCCAGCATCCCCCATCCTCTGTGTTTGCTGGACACGAAGAGCCAGCCAGTCCTCATTACTTCGACTCTCGACCGCCTCTGATCCCTCGCCCCAGGTCGGCAGATGAAACGACGATATCGAACCACAGGGAAATGGAATGGGACTCTGATGGAGATTCGATGCACTCCCTCGACTCTAGCCTCGACATTTGGCTACAGCAAGGCAAGGATCCAAAGTACATCGCACAGCAGCGGAGTGAGTCTCCGGATCTTTTCAGCTTTCCTCCTTCTGGTGGGGGATGGAACACGGCCGGCATGTTCGGCTCATCTGGCGGCGCATTTGAGGTCCCCGGCCTTCCGCCACCGCATCACAATCCAGCCGAGGACGTTCTCTTCCAGGATGGGGCCCAGCCTCTCCCCCCTCCGAATAGAAGGTCGAGCTTGGGTGCAAAGACAGGCCAGACTTCATCGAAGAACATGCCCATTAACGGCAAGCTTCGCAAGTCACCTTCTCGCAGCGGGTCCAGGCGCAACAGTGTCGATGCGCAAATGATCCAGCTGGCAGAGGCTGTGGCTAATAGCCCGCAGCATGATTCAAAGACTGGTGCTCGCGCCAAGGACAGCCATTATCCCCCTTCTTCGACTGCCGCACCCCGTGGACACCGGTTGAACTTCTTCAGACGATCTATCGGCGGTAGCAACGCTCCGAGTCCGGTTCAACAGGCACCGGCAATCGAGCCACCGGCAGCAACTTCGACACAAGCTGCCCCCATGGGCGTCCCATCATGGGTGCAGCGGAACCATCCCGGCGAGGAGGACAGGACCAGCGCAACACCGCCTCCCATCTTGCGTAACCCCCGCCCTGCTCGTTCTGGCAGCTTTGACGAGGGTGCGCCTGTGCATGATCGCAGCCCTGCGGCCCCGACGACACCTATGACAAGCTACACTCCGAATACACCGAACGCGAACGGAACGCCCGCCTCTGCAGAAACCACACCCGCGAGCAACTCTGCGAGTGGCGGCGCGCCCTTACACAAGCGAAAGTGGTTGCCGGGCTTTGGTCGAGCGAGCAGTCTACGGAATCGGGCTGGCTGAGGAATCTGGCAGTCATTAAGCCATTCGCCGCCAGGAGCTGGTGAAGATGAGAACAGAGTCGGCGATCCGGGAGATCTTCGAGTCATGAAAATCTGGCCCGATGTAATATATTTGGCCCCGTCGACGGGCTTGTTGTGATACCTTTGCCTCATATGCCCCTACCAGACAGGGTGCTAATGATGGGCTGTGCGATGAAGACGACTCAAGCAAGCAATAAATGATTTGGGATTTGAATTGAAAACCCGCCGGGGTATTTGAAGCCCGGCGGCAGAACGGGTGGGAAGGCGTTGGACAGCTGCAAGCGAAAAAGCATGACAAAGCACTTGTGTCTGTGAAAGACCATGCTCCAGGGTATTCCTTCATCCATCAAAATATAACTTGGAATATTCTTTTCATGAATTTATATGCACCTAGTATACTATCCTGTGGCCTTTGTCGATATGTACACCTTACCTAGCCTCCTTTACCGTCTCGTCCACCGTAGCCGCACATCCTTGGGACGATTCATCTGTAATGTCAACCGAGGCTGACTATCCTGCATCAAGTTTGAAAGTCTCTTTCGAGCCTTGGTCGCGTTCTCGGTTGCTGGTTCAGCGCTACTACTATCGTCTTCGAGGACAGGCTCGACGGTACATTTGTGGAAGAGTGTCGCGATGACGGTGACGAATTCGACTTGAGCCATTTTTTGGCCTGGACAGGTGCGGGGACCTGAGGACCAAGGGAGAAATGCGCCGCGGGGGGGTTGGATGTGAGGTTGCGGTGGTGATGATAATGCCGATGATGGTGATGTCTGGGGTGTAAGCCATCGCGTTGGTTTGAAGGCTAGGGCGTCGGCCCCCCAGGTTTGCGGGGAGGTGTGGAGGGCTACTGTGTTGATGTAGACTGTGCATGGGGGGATTGTGTAGGATGTCGCGGGTATTGTGGAGGGCGATGATGATGGTATCGAGGCTGAGGTTGAGGTCGGTGTCGTTGATGTTGAGATTTGGCTGGGGAGGGTTTGGGTTGTTGTGTTTGAGCGCATTAGATGGGTCAAGGGCGGGAAGAGTCGAAGGGTTTCGAACTTGGAGAAATTTGTCAGTATTTGCTCTCTAAAGATATTCTTCTTGAAGGATATATCGGTTGTCAAGAAGGGAAGCTTATGAATGGGCAGGGAAGCCCAAGGGATCCAGGTAGAGTGGGTGAGGATGTTGGTAGAGAGAGTGGAAAGACTCACCATAACAGCAAGACACCGCGTGAGCTTCGGAAAGACGATGCTGTAGTCCGGCAGTTCTCGCTCCACCTGCCCCGACGAGAACGATGGTGATGGCGTGGGAGGGCCCAGAATGGCGTCGAGCTCGGCCTGGATCCAAGCTTGCCACTCTGAGTACGCTGCGAGGAGGGTGACGGCGTATGCTAGGGTGTTTGCCGTCGTGTCGAAGCCAGCGGCGGTGAAGATGAAGAGGTTACCTGCGATTTCTTCTTCTGTGAGGTATGATTTAGGATTATTGTTGCTGGTGGTGCTCTTTACGGGAGGATTCTTTTCCGAACTGTCGATGCGACTCTTTTCCTGATCTGAAAGGCGTACAAGCATACTCATAATCGTATCCGTCTTTCCAACCGTCGCCGTAGTCGTCACCATCTCGTCCAAAGCACCACCCAGAGACGAAGAGGATGCCTCGGCCAACCGCTGCCTCTCCCGATCCAGCATATCCACCGTGAGCCCAGGTAATCTATGTAACGCAGCCCCTAAAGTCTGGACTACGTTGGACATGAATGGGAGACGCAGGATACGGATTGGGATGAACGCAGCGAGGTCGAGAAGTTCGGTGCAGAGAGAGATTGCGTCGACATAGGTCATGGATGCAGAGGGGTCGCGTGGGAGGGGGGTGATTGCGAAGGGTTTGTTGTCGCCGTACGCTATTTTTGTGAGGACGTTTATTGCGATTGTGCGGAGGCCTTGGATTGTGGTTGATGTTGTTGCTGCTGTTGAGGTTGTGTTTGTGGGGGAGGAGGAAGAGGGAGGGGAGAGAATGTGATTGACGAGGGATTCTGCTTGTTTGGCTGTTGCTTTGTAGACTTCTGGGCTGATTCGTTCGTTGAGGACTGGGGCAACGATGCGTCTTTGGCGGGACCAGGACTCACCATTGGACTATGATTGAGTGTATAATTGTCAGCTTACAGACCTTCTCTCACTTTCGGCGAAGTAAACTTCGGTGATGGAGAATGAGCGCAGCATCACTAGGTCTTGTTCGTCCGTCAAAGCCCATCCATAGAGGCTTAAAATTGGGACTAATATCTGCGAAAGACACGAAACTCACAGTCAGGATGTTAGAACCCAAGAACCCCATGACCTTGCACACGATATCTGGCTGGACAAACTCCCGTCGCCCGTTCAAAATGGCGTGCGCCATGGTTGGGTCGGCGCAGATAAGCTGGTTGAGGCCCGTGGTGACAAGCATGAAAGCCGGCCCGACGCGATCGTGGACGGCGGACTTGTCGCGGAACTCCCAGCCCACGATGGTGAGTTCTACGGTGGCGAAGAAGGTTGCAGGGAGAAGGCGTTTAAAAAGAGGGCGGAGAGGGACAGAGGTGACGACGTGGATGAGCTTCAGGTGTGTCAGTCGAGATATGTTGACGAGGATGGGAGGAGAACTTGCATTTTCTGGGTCATACGGGCATATTATAATCGGCAGGCCTACGGTGAGAGCTACTTTGTAGTTTGTGTAGAGGTTCCATAGTTGAGAGGCGATCCAGAGGAGCGGTAGGGCGATGAGCCCGGTGAATATAGGGCCCATTGTTGCGATTGAGTGAGAGGGTGCTCACGATGTTGTTGTGAGATTTCATACGAAACGTGAGTGAGGGTGAGACGCAGCTCTGATGTCGATTGTGAGATAAGCCGAATGAGTGAGGGGAAGGAATTAGTCTCATCACGTGTACGCCACAAAATGCATGATCCTTCGGACGCGAGACATTGGACGAAGACCTGGGTAATCGGTGAGATGTAACGAAGGCCATTTGGCCGCATTCAAAGTATACCAGATAACTTGCCATGACGGCAATGTCGAGAATGCTAGTAGTGAAAGCTATTGGTAACCCGTAATGTTGATAAACTTAGAGGAAATCGATGATATTCAGTATTTTTAGGGGTGGTTTGATGCAGCGAGCATGCAGCAGGACCTATCTTGATCGTTGCACAGAGGGACAAACAATTGCCGACCCCCTCAAGTGTACGACTTTGAGAGACCACGGCCTGATGAGGATTGGCATAGGCGCTGCCGTTTAGTATGTGAAATAGCTTGTGAGTTCACCTGCAGACTTCATCTTTTGCAAACGCGTTTAAAGAACGCGTTTAGCTCAGGCCGATCGGTACCGTGTTCGGATTCGCTTTTGCCTCCGGCATGTTGAGCGCGTTTCGCTCCGGTTCCCCCACTCCAGCGCGGGATTTATGGGGTACCGCAGGGGGTTGACGCCGCGAGGAAACGCCGCAGCCCGGTCGGCTTTTCGGGAGGTCTTTCGGACGATTTGAGCGATAGACAGCAGAGAGGATTGAATCATGGGCCTGCGAGATCATTGGTTTCATGCTTCACTTCAGCTGTTGAAGACCGACTTGACCAGTAGACTCGCGGCTCAGTGAGCTAATCTTCTTTGGCGATGAGTGAGTAAGCAGGAAAAAGCAAACGCATTTGCGCCGTGGCTTTCTGCTCCTTACGTTTACTTAATCTCTTACCGCCCAACCACTTCATCCTTCATCAACCTTTCGCTTTCGCGAATCCGATTGACTTTACTCAGGCTCTAATCTTGTCCCAGCGATCGAATGAAGGGTCTTCACGCTCATTGACGAGGCTCCCACCGCGGAAGTGCCGTGCAGGCCACGATGCTCGATACCACAATGTCTCGCCAGCCACTGCCGAAGAGGCCAGACCAACTTCGTCCCGACCCATCACCATCAGTGTCTACGCATATCAAGTCACCAAACGACCGAGTCTCTGCAACTGCTGCCCGGAATAGGAACTCCGCGGCTAACGATGGGCCATTATCCGACAACCCATTCACCCTCATCCCGACCGCGTCGTACAGCGCGTTGGCCCAGCTCTATCACCTTGTACAGCCTTGCTTAAGCGATCAATCTCAAGTCACGCGTCTCTTTTCGTCAGTGCGACAATCAGGCTTTGCACCAGCAGTTAAAGCACTACTTATTGGTGGATACGGGCGCAGTTTTGCGGTCGTGGTGTTTGCTGTGCTGGTGAACCACGTCAGGAGGATGCTCGCACCGGCGCTTGGCGTGGGCGTGTTCGGGGGTCCCATTTCGACACTGAAACTTGCTATTGGCAGTCCGGCGCTTTTTCTAAGCGAGGAGGTTGAGGTTGGCTTCTTTGGCAGAGTGTTCACCCCGGAAGGAGCGTGGAAGCTTCTCGGGGATGTAGTTGGAACTGTCGTTTTTGAGCGCGTCTTGGTCGGTGCTGCTGAGGAACTGGATACAATGAAGGGTTATTCCAAGTTTGAGACGAAAGGCTCAACTACAAGCGGAAGGAGGAAGGATACTGACAAGGTTCGGGTAAGAGGATTCCAGAAGCGGAGGACTGCCGCTCTTGTCGTCTACTTGATTTGGATTCTGGGATGTGCCGAGTATCTCCACGCGAGAGCAGCGCATGTCGTGGCCGTCGGCATCGCATATACCAAGCTCTTACGGGGTGGGATGCTTCACAAACAGGCTCTATGGGAAGTTCTACTCCCTTATACATCACCCAGGTCTTCGTCACTCATCGAAAGTGTCAGAGAGAGTATCGGTGTGGTTGGGTTCCATCTTGAGCTTGCATGTTTCATCGCCTGGGGCCTCTATCCGCTCATAAGACTAGCCATTAGTTCTACGTTCAGGATGAACCCGAGGAAGAGCAGGCCCGGACTAGCGATGCTGGTTTTTGCTTGGGTTTGGGGAACGGGTTACGTGACGAGGTACTCGAACAAGTACTACATTGGCCTGGAGATGAGCGGACTATGGCTTGTCATGTGGTGGATCATTGTTTCCGGAGTACTTCTTGGCTTATACTCTTTTTGTTCTAAGTTCGGAACAGCTACTAGAAACCCGCGTCACGGAGAGAAGAGTTGATGACCCTTTTCGGACTCACTTCTATATGCCTCGCCGTATCCCATCCAATGCTAGATTGCGTCAATACGTATGGTAATTTAACAAAGGCGGTAACAGGTTGTATGTTAATCCCTTTCAAACTTTTTTTGAATAAAGCAGAATTAGAGAAAGACTAGGACCGTATTAACTGATGTTACTCAGCAATTAACGGGATAAAAGCTCACTTAGTTTAAACATACATCAAGTACTTGATACATGGAGGAGCATGCGAAGGTTTGCTCCACCAGTTAGCATTGCCCGAAACTCACATCTTCTTCAGGTAGAAATGTATGATCATGATGTCCTTTGCGTGAGAGTGCAATCTGGTTTTGGCTGACACATTGTTCGGTCACCAACGTGGAAGGTTAAACTGACACTTGTCGCCACTTCTACGGCGAGCATCTCCCACTGATGTCCAGGATGGGGCAGGGATTCTGCCCCGCTTTGCGACAAATCACTCATTCGAAGATCAGGCAGCAACGATGGCGATTCCTTCCAACACCCGTTCTAATCGATCGTACTCTGTACAATTCATAGCCACACCATGTATGATATCTCCCTTCAGGACTGATAACAACGGCAACACACACTGCCAGGACTCAGTGCTCACTCACCCGATGTTGCCTTCGCTACCTCATGCAGTCGCCTCAGCTGTACATGGGGGTTCAAACCTTTGCGATCGATGTCTCTCCGTACTTGTAGATGACAGCATTGACGACTTCGTTGAAGGAGACTCTACAACATCGGAAGCCTCCACTACACTGAGACACAGAGATGAAGGCAAAGGAGAGATGATCATGTTGGGATCGCCTTGCCAATGGAAAGACTCGCTGCCTTTATTGCCAGTACTGGCTGAATCTTCCAAGAAAGGCTGCCTTCTGTGTACGTTTGTGCGAGAACACATTATCAAACGGGACATAGGCTATACGGGAGATGTTTACATCAATGGTGGATACATATGGGGCGCTGACAGAGATGTTTTTGGCTCGAAACCAAATGACGAAGGTCTTGTGTTCTGGCGATGCGAAGTATACAAGCGCCCCGAGAAGGACTTTGTTGCGGCTGTGACCTTTAACATCGAGTCCAATGACGGTTAGCTTTTTAGGATCCTGATCTTATATTTCACTGAGCTTACATTCGAGCTAGACGCTGTCTCAGATTGGCTGCGACTCGATGACAAGCGACATCCTCGATTACTTGACCCTGCCAATGTCGAGTGGATAAAGTACGAGCTCAATCGATGCCAGGAAGAATGTGGCCATGTTGAGGACGAGGTGGCTTTCGTCCCAACAAGACTGATCGACGTGGGGAGCACCGACCTAGCCATCCCTCGCCTGGTCACCTCGGAAACTCTGCACGAATCAAGTGAGGGGAAACTCAACGGATTTGAGTATGCTACGCTGAGCTACTGTTGGGGTTCTAGAAAAGATGCGGCTGAACAGCTGAAAACAACTAGAGAGAACTTATCACAACACCTTGAGGGTATACCACTCGACTTTATGAGTCCGGTTGTGAGAGACACTGCTATCACCTGCAGAGCTCTCGGTCTACGATACCTCTGGGTAGATGCGCTTTGCATCATTCAGGGAGACATGGAAGACTGGAACACGGAAAGCTTGACCATGGGCCGTGTTTACTACTGCTCGACTCTGACCATTTGTCCATTGGCGTCTACGTCTTGTCTCCAGGGATACCTTGGTGAAAGACCATCAGGTCTCAACGTGCCATTTCAGTCGAAAAGGCGCGAAACTATTCGCGGGACCTACACGTTCTATCCATCTTCGGATGACCGGAAGCCGATTTGGAACTCATCAACATTAATGAACGATTTGAAGCAGTCAGTATGGGAAACCAGGGGCTGGACGTTTCAGGAGAACATGCTGTCAACAAGATTGCTCTTTATCGGGCCTGGAATGTGGCACTTTGCTTGTGAAAGTGGTTCCACGTCTGAAAATTCATACGTGACCCTCGGATCGGTCATTCACGGGTCGTTAAGGCCACTCGTCAATATAGCACGAGAGCCGAAGCCAGCTGATTCTATCGAAGCATCCCGTAGGATACGCAACGCTTACGCCCGATGGGAAGAGATTCTAGAGATTCAGACGAGATCGTGGAGCTACAGAGATGACCTCCTGGCTGGCATAGCGGGATTGGCCGAAGAGTGTGCCAAGATTACGGAAGACACATACCTTGCTGGTCTATGGATGAACGACCTGCAGCACGGGCTTGTCTGGGAAACATTGAACCCAGATGTTGGAACCCTTGGGGTAACACTCCAACAGAAGAGGAATCAAAAGCCTTACGTGGGCCCGTCGTGGAGTTGGGTATCTCAGCTACGGCCGTTCGAAGTTTTACCATGTCGGCGCTACAACGTGGACAATCCAAGGCCGCAAGAGGAACCTCCAAACAAGCAGAAGATCATGTCATTATCAGAAACACTGCCAGCCCATGTTCAAGCCGAGTTCATAGTCACGGAGCATCGCATGGACTTTCAGTGGAGTAGTCCGTTTGGCCGACTCAACCCCGGTTCATATCTTCGAATAAATGTGTCATTGTCCGATTTCCCGTCGGATGTGATCATCGAACCTCGTCGTAAAGGAAACCCCCCGATTGGATACTTCTATGATGGGAGTGGTCTCTGCATGTTTGACTGGTCCGTGGAAGTCACTACGGTTCAGCAACCCGGTCAGATGAAGCTCTTGTTGACTTCCAGTTGTTGTTTCAAGACAAATAATTGGAGTAAACTGCGATACCTATCCAGTCTACGAGATGGACTGGGAAAGTCTTTCCCTTTTCCAGAGGGCGAAACAGTCTTTGATGATGAAGATTGGCAAAGGCCAGAGCATTGTTCGTTCTGCCAAGATAGCGAGGCTCCAAAGACTGTTTGGGGGCTCGTCGTTCATCCGGCGGATCGCCTGGAAGGCTATTACCGGGTTGGAATATTTGTCATATTTTCTGAAAACGTAAACGCGAATCTCTTTGCGACCAAAGAGAAGCAGGACATAGTCCTAGTTTAGGATTTTTTCTGAGGTTGAGGACACTACATGCAAATGCATTTTTCTATCTACATTAAAATCCACCTCAAGAGGAAGGACCTTTATTCACGATGAACTAAGTTCGCTTGTAAAAAAAAACCCTTTTCTACATTGCTACATTATAGTACATGTATTACGCTGAGAACACTAAGAGAAACTGAAATTGCAGTCATTGAGTGGGAACAATGGTCGGAGCAGCCGTAGTAATCGCAGTTGTCGCAACAGTTACATCAATAGAAAGATGTTGCGAGGTCTTGTCGAAGAGCCTATTTTCTTGTCACATACTTGACACTCTCACCCACTGTTCGTCGATACTACAGATAGTTCAAATGGCAGAATTGCGAGCATTTTGGCGATGGTATGTCACAACTCGTAAATAAAGTCCAAATCGCCTCTTACTGACTCGCGGCAACGGGTCGACGCTTGCTCGTGCGACTCATCGGCTGATAATCAGCTAACCAACGCTGTGGTACGCGCGTAGTGTCGCCTATTTGCTGCGAAATACTCGCTCCCTCGGGTCCTCCATCATTTCCATCATTTCCCCATTCGAGCAAAGCCCCGGCTTTGTGGTTGTTTTCTACTGAAAATGGCAGCCCGGACCTGGTTCCCCGGCCACATAGGAATCACAACCCAGCCCAGTATTAATAGTGTGGCAACGTCTTTTCAGCCTCACGGCAGTCCGTGTGTCACGACCGGACCATGGCCGAATATTACTGAAAAACTGGAAGCGAGGACGCATGTTGATGCCCTCTTGAGGTAATTGGTTCGGTCGCATTGAATGAGGATTTTCCGACGTCGCACTTGAGGTGGTTTTTCAATAGGTGACGCTCGGATCGCTGGATCGACGTGGACATCCCCTGACTGGCGACTGGGCGCTTGGGAAAGATGACATGTTAAAGTGCTTACCCTTGAACCTTTGGGATGGCAGATGGAATGCGGACTGGACCCCGACTCGTCGGATTTCTCACCGGGGAATACCCGGACCACGCCGAGATGTGATCAAGCATTGGGATTTTCATTCATCCTTCGCCATTGCTACGAATACTTTATGTTACGTGCTTCTCGCCCAGCATGCTACTTGGGGGCCGTTTGGTATTGCATGCTTTTCTCGTCTATCGTGTTCACGACTCATGATCATAACGCCATAGTTCATCCCGAAAAAAAAACTACAATGACGCCTCAGCCTTAGGCGTACGTCTTCACCATCTTCAGCAGAGCCTCTTCGACCTCCTTTGGGCTGGTGGCGTTCAAGTAGTGGCCACCGCCCTCAACCATAGTCACTGTCGCCTCCGGGGCAGAAGTGAAAAGCTTGATCTGCTCGCCGGGGATGTTGACACCGAAGACAGGATCGGCGGTTCCCTAGTTTTTCGTTAGTTATTCATCCCGAGGTAGTCAATCATTCAGCCGCATTGTCACGTACCTGAAGCCAGTAGACGGGGCACTTGACATCTCTCAGTCTCAGAAGCAGACCGTCTCTCGACAGCAGGTTACCCAAGGCCATCTTGAGCTTCTTGCGGCCCTCGTCGCCCTTGTAGACGGACTTGAGGGTCTTTGTCCAGAACTCAAGGGTCTCGGGCGGGACGGTGCCCGAGAAGCCCAAGCTGCCAACCATACCGCACCAGATGTCGTCAACGACGAAATCCGGCGTCGGGGTGGCACTGGACCAGCCGTCGTAGAAGGCCAGAAGCTGGGCCTTAGGGTCCCAGCAGCCCTTGACACGCGAGTCGGCTGACTCGTAGTCCATGGAGGTGCCCAAGGGCAGGAGACCCAGAATCTAGATTCGATGGAGTTCAGCACAGTCCAGAAAAGAAATCCCAGGAGAAACCCCGGGAAAACAACGATCCTCTTTTTTTTTCCTTTCCAAAAGGATCGCGATCCCAGGGAAACAAAGTGACAGTGCAACGGGGCCATTGAATGTCACGTGGCATCGCAACGTACCCTCTCAGGGGCCAAAATGGCCATACGGGTGACCATCCATCCACCTTGACTCGTGCCAAGAGCAAAAGCCTTCTGGACGTTGAGCTTGTCCATGACCTGCAGGGCCATGATGGCAGTGTCCCAGTAGGTGAAGTGCTCGACGGGACAGCTGGTGGAGCCGTGGCCGAGCGGCTCGATGGCCAGGAGGTTGACGGCGTCCGTCAGCGTCTTGCTGTTGAACTGGTCGTTGTAGAGGGAGACGGTTGTGCACATGGAGTTGATCAGCACGACGGTGGGCTTGGCGGAGTCGACCTTGTCTCCGGACAGGCGGTAGCCGGCCGTGATGCCGCCGAGGTGGGGGACTTGGAGAGTAGTCGTGGCTGCCATGATGTGATTTGTGTGAGTAGCCTATGCCCTGTTGCTCTGCTGTCTGCGAGTGTATAACAAGCTGCTTTGAGTTTGGTTCGGTTCCGGGAGGTAAGAAAAAGGTGGCTTGGACAGAAGTTAGGTTTAGTAGTAGGTTTGAAAGAGATGCAGATTTCTACATGTACTAAGCAACTCCTGAGGGGTTCTGGAGATCCTACCCCTCGTGGCGCCAGTAGCGGGTTGCATTGGGTAAACTTCAGAGTCGGCGGTGTATCTCAAACGGCCTACTCCGCCGAGAAGCCTCGGGAGCCCAATTGAACGTAACATCTGTTGCAGTAGACCACGGGTTGGGTTTCCCAAACGAGTTGCCTCACGGTGAGGCCTGTCCCTGTTTCGGTGAGGTGGAGATGGCAGAAAAAACGGTCGTGGACGACTCCAGCCTGGACAGGTCACCAAGTCTTCATTATCCGCCAGTCCTGGTCCCTGGAAGGGGACGTTCGTCGGTATCCGACAATATCCTTCTTTTGACAAGTGGAACAGAGTTGTGATCAGCGAGCACGCGTTGGGCTTGGATGGTCTTCCAGGAATATCCTTTCGTCACTCGTGCTATCGCCGAAGCACAGACTTCGGGAACAGGGACAGGACATGACTCGGGGTCTACTTTTTGAGGGGCGAAATGAGCAACCAGCTTTAGTTTGGCGGTGGCCATGTTCTCCCCAGCTAGCGTCCTCGCTGGCGCTATTGTGACGGACGACCGAAGAACCCGAGAACGACTTTACCTGAAGTGCCATTTTTACTCGGTCGTTCTGACGCGAGAAAGGGGGTTCAAACGTCGGCAGCGGGGCCGTCTCTGAATGGCGTTGCGGTTACGGTGGTGAGAGGTTCATCTCATACCATTTCCGGGTTCGTGGCGTCAGGGTTATTGAAGGCGCCGTCGTTTTGGCAGAGACAGGACCGTTAGAAGTCAAAAGTCAATTCCCTTTCCCGCCCGTCTAAGAGAAACGAACTGTCGGGAGGGACGGGAACATCCTTCCTCTAGTGTTTCTTCTACCCGTTTGGTATCTTACAGACATAAGGCGGGTGGGAGGCCGAAAATGTCTGTGAGCAAAGTGGACGGGGACGGGTTGGCCAGACTTTAAACGCACAACATGTCTTTCTCTAATGCGATGGATTCGGGAATTCTTCAGGTGAAATTCTTCAACCGGCCGGGGCCGATCGTTTGACGCGAGGCATTCCTTCGATCCTCATCTGCCGCCCCCAATCCCACACGCCATGCATTCTTCTGCGACGCATGCAGCTGCCGAGGCTTCGGCTACGGGGGAGCGAACCCTTGCTGGCAAGTCTGATGTTCCAGTGGCTCTCACAAATGCTCCAAGCTTCGAGACAAAGCCGGCCAAAACCCGGATGCGGTATTCGATGTGTAACAACAACCACATAATCAAAGGCCCAGCCGTCATAAATCTCCCGACAACATGAGCCCCGGGCCGACAAGGGCAGATGTCCACGCTGGGCATTGACAGCAATAGTCTTAGTGCCAGTGGTCCTTGAGACTTGAAGAGCCGAGAGGTACTAGCCGATACCTATTCGAGGCACCTCTAAGTCGGATCCCAGCAACGGGCGAAGCAATCCGGGATGATCCCCATCCAGCCATGTCGTTTTGCCCCAGGGCATCGCATAATTCAGTGGAGAACAACGCCGAAATCATGAACGTTGTTCGACCTGCAGAGGCCTGTCATCCTTTGGCCGCTAGCAACCTGGGTCCACAAAGCGTGGAAAAACACTCACTTATTGTGGACTTTTCTTCCTTCCTCACTTGGGAAACGAGGCGATCAACATTGCGGCGCGCAATTGCAGGAACTGGAGTACGAAATAACCCAGGAACGTGCATGTGTACACGACTAAGAGACCAGGGCCTTGCCTGACGTCCCTCGTGGCATCGAAGAGTTTACCTCTTTTGTGAACCTTGCAAGTCTATCAGATATCCTTTCCCGTCAGTTCACTCACTTATGCTCCTCTCCTGTGGATGATCGAGTTCCCTTTTCGGTTGTATATCTCGTTTGACATATATGCGGTCTTCTTCTTGGCCGCCGTTTTAGGAATGAAGCAATGGCGGCCGAATGGAGAGTTCCATCAAACCCTCACATAGTATTCACCACCCTCGCATGTGCTTAACCAAGAACACACGTTCTTTCCTCCCCAGTTTTCTTACCTTTTCGTCATTCCCACGTTGTCCAGGGGCTCGTCTCTCGACCGGCTTCACGTTGTTTTCAGGGGTCAGGGCTATAGGACGGCACTTTCTTGCAGAAGGATTCTGCCCATTCTTTTAGTCGGTGCCTGGGCAGAATAAAGTAACCCAGTTGCCCTGCTTCCCTTTATGGAGTCCTTCTGCGAAGCGAATCCGTCCGGACTGACGAGAGATTGATGAATGCGTGTTGACCCGTCCCCTTCCTTGGCCGTTGACCAGACCCCCCTTCTTTCTCTTGTTCGAGGCTATCAGGCTGGGTCCTTTACCCCCATTTCCCGAGAGATTGGTTCTCTCTTCCCCGCGGCATCTTGAGGATTATTCAACACATCGCGGCTGTGGGCTGAAAGACACTTTACGCACGAAAAGATGTCGACCGACTCGGGTCCGTCACCGTTGCCCGGGCTCCCTGGATACGACCCTCAAAACATCCAGCCATGGACTGTCGAAGTTGTGGTTTCGGTTACAGTCCTCGCCGTACTCGCCGTTATTCTCCGCCTTATCAGTCGTCAAACAAAGGGCCAGAAGCTGTGGTGGGATGACTACTTGATTGTCTGGTCGATGGTACGTTTTCCATCAATATCAAGTCTCTAGTCGGAGACATCGACTTTGGGCAAGATTAAAACTGACTCTGTTGTAGCTATGGAACCTCATTGTTGTTGGTTTCATCTTCGCGATGCACTCGGTGGGAATGGGCCTACACGCAGACAAGGTCGGCGTCGACAACATCGTGTTGATGGCCAAATACCTCGTCGTAGCAGAGATTCTCTACGCCTGGAATTTGGGCTGGACCAAGCTTAGTTTGATGTTGATGTACTACCGCATCTTCCACATCCCGTTCTTCAAGAAGATGACGTGGTTCGTCATCACTTTTGTTTTCGCCTGGGTCATCTGCATCACTTTCCTCTTCATCTTCATCTGCGTACCTGTCGAGAAGCTTTGGTATCCCGACATCCCGGGTAGATGCATCAACCAAGTCGCGACCTGGATCGCCAACGCAGCTTCTACTATTTTCACCGATCTTCTCATCTTGCTGCTGCCTCCCCCTCAGGTATGGAAGCTGCAGCTGCAAAAGGCTGAAAAAATTGCCCTGACTTTCGCCTTTGGCCTCGGTTTCTTGTAAGTGCCTTCTTCCGAGAGGGCTCCAGTGTTGCTCAACAGTATCATAGTGTCGTCTTCACCTCAGCATACCGAACGAGCGTCCTCTTCACTTACAGCGGAACCGACCCAAGTTACACTCTCGCTCCGACTGTCGGCTGGACCGCCATCGAAATGTCCGCCGGCATCGTCTCCGCCTGCCTACCGACCATCCGTCCCGCTATGCAGCGTATAGTCCGAGCCTGCGGTTTCAAGGGCAGCATGGGCGGCATGTTCCGCAGCACGACGGCGCTGGGCTTCGGCTCCAGCAGGAACAAGTCCAACTTCAGCAACGGCATGTCCTCGCAGGACCCCCACACGAACAACGGCTCCCAGATCGCTCGCAACCTCTCGACGACCAAGCATGGCGCCGGCGAAGATGCCTTTTACCGATTGCCTGACGACAACGGATCTGAGGGCACCAGCCGCCAGCCTACACCTCCCCTGGCAGACTCGAAGCTGAGACCGGATACCACCGGATTCGGGTACTCCGTCTCGAGTTATCCTGTCAAGGAGAGAGACGATAAGAGTGATGACGAGATTCCTCTTCACGCTATTCGAGTACAGAGAGACTTTAAGCACACGACGGAATGAAGCTGAGGAAGGGTCGGACATACGGAACACTCTGTGCGAGGTATTTTCGGCGAAACGACGATGAGAGTCCTATTAATTGTACAACTCATCAGGCAACTACACCGGCCTCTTAATTTGAATATACGAGTGGTTGTTAGCCCACACTTATGCGAAGGCGTTGAAAGGAGTCAAGGGAAAGGAACGAAAAGTTGAATGCTAGTCCATCGCTAGCACATAGTCAAAAGTACATGTACCCAGTGAAACCTGAGTAACGTCAGAAACGTAACATGGCGAAGATGCGCCAATCCTACGGTGGCGCGAAACGTGCTCTTAATCGCAATAATAATCCAAGAATGACCAACATATACCTACATGGACGTGACAGCCATGGATCGAGGCTGATCTTAGTCTGTATCGATATTAAGCTTACTTGGAAGCGCCAAAGTATTTCGACCATTCCTTCGACAGCTCGGCAGCCTGGTTGTTGCTACTTATATGTTCAGGTTCTTTGTGCTTGAAGTTGCTTTCATTCCATCACCAATCAATGTGCTAGACTAAAAAGGCAATTTTGGCCAACTAATCTACATCATAGGAGTTACCAGCGGCTTCACAGGTGCCTCTCATTTCTCTCGAGGTACAATTATTTCTCCTCTGTTTCTGGCTTTTGGCCATATACAACATTGCTGCAAAGAAGTAGTCAGTATGTACGCAAGCAACCCAAGCTCACTCAAAAGGTATCTAAATACTTACTAGTGTAGCCAAGCATGAGCTTTTCCAGTCTTGAGCTCGTTGCGTACTCCCGACAGTAACACTATAACCTCTTCCTTGGTCCAGCCGAGGACGCCACAGAGAAGCCTAAGGGTGAAAGCCTCCAGGCCATCCAACATTTGAATGAGGTTACACATGCCAAGATCCTTCAAGTGAGGGTCTTTGGCCCAAGGTCCCGCAGGGATCTTGAAAGGCTTGTGGACGATATTGATTAGTCCGGTGTTCTCCCTCACCAGCTTCTCTAACTTCGGCCCGACCTGTCCATCACGGCCTAAGACTTCGCAAGCTTCCATGAAGTAGCCCATCCAGCGGAGAAGCTCTGTGCCTTCAGTTGTGCCGTCATCCGAATAGAGCATGTAATCCCAGTCTTGAAATTCGGCCCAGCCCCCAGGATTCAGGTTCCTAAGAAACTCGTTAAAATGACAGGCAGCATTAAAACCTTCAGGATATTGACTCACTCGTAGACTCGTCTTACGTATGTCGGCCAATCAGCTAGGGCGCCAGCCATATAACGGCTGAAGATGAAATCGTACTTGTCCTCCCCAATCCATTCGCTTTCAACGTCGTCGATTTCGAACTTGACATTAGGTGGAACCCTGGAAGCATCAACTTGGTTAACCGTCAAAAATGAGTGGACTTGGCGAGTGAACATACCAAGGTGGCTGAATAGCACTCAGATCATTTCCAAGGATCTGTGTCTTTGTCAGAGATCATTCCATCATAAGCTTGCCTACACTATTGCAATTACCTCTGCATTTGGAAACAGATCACCCATTTCGATGGCCCCTGTGAAGAAACAGAGAACGATAAGCCTCTGGCCATATCTGCAACACGATTCAAAGCGCGATTACTCACAGATTCCAGTGCCAGTGCCAACATCGAGGATTCGGTGAGTCTTGTGCTCATCAATAGGCGCAAGAAAGAGTCGATTTCCAATGGTCTTGACTAGTAAAGTGTGAACCACGTCGAGTCTTTCCATTTCAGTCTACATGAAATTTCGGGTTAGTATTTCGTCACGAACTGATGGCTCTATGACCCGCAATACGCGCCTCATCATTGGGGAACACATAGGCTGTTGTGTTTTTTAAAGCAATTAGCATGAATCGAAATCTTAGCAGTGTTGACGATGAGATCCATAAGATTCATGGAGGTGATGCTGGAGTCTGGGCTCTGCACTTACCACCAGATCGAAAGGCATGATAACGCCGACCGTACTCGGTAGGGTAGTCAACGATGGAAGATGACAATGACGCAGTGTATGAGGAGCTATTGAGTCGACATCAGTACACGCTTACAATTTTATGCACTCTTTCCTTGTCATCTGTAATTGATGTGGACGGAGAGTCAGGAGTTGGGGGCGAGAGTACATTCTGTCATCAATAGTCGAGGCATCATCCTAAGGAACGGGTTACTTTAGCTTGGGCATAACTCGAAAGACACATTCTATGAGATTAAATGAACGCACAGTTATTCCATCGTCAATCTCAATTGTGGCCGGGGTCTCGGCAACGTCGGAAGGAGACTGAGGGGTCGGCGTCGCTCCTGCACCAGCCACCGATGCTGGCGTTGCTGCTGGCGGTGTTGCAGCTGCTGGCCTGGTCGCGGACGCTGGCATGGCGGGTGAGGCGGCCGACTGCGGGGATTTTGCTGACTTAGGAGAGTCTGTCGGCGGGCCTACGGTTGCTTTGGGAGTTGGGTCCGCCATGATTACTGGCGACTGATTCTTGTCAAGTCCTTTTGACTGAGATCAGTGAGTGGGCTGCGGAGTTGAAGAACAACAGCATCCGGAGACAACTGTCAAAGCAACTGGAAAAGTCGCGGGGTTTTGTAAAGTCACGGATGAGAGACAAAACCCCGCAGCTTGCCAGGCTTCGATGTCGTTGGTTCTGTTGGAACCAACTGCATCGTTCAATGTCGATATGCGAGACGCATGCGGACTGGAGCGTGCAGAAACCCGACCTCCTTCCACAATTGTTAGCTTTCTGGGTGGGCTGTTTAACCGCCCACAACACGAAATGAAATCTGTCGTCCCATAGCCTCGGATACCGCTTTGCAGCTCGCCTCTTCGCGGAGTGATTCTTATCATTACGCTGCTAGTATTGACCTTCAATGCTATAACGAAAGCTCTGACAACACTGGACTCTCGAAATCCTCCATATCGATCAAGATATCAAAGACTGAATCTAACATAAGCCAACCTGGAGCATCGATGAACTGCAGAAGAACTTCAGGTGCAGGGTTCCTGCCAGCTGGCACTTTCAAAGATGGCGGGCCAACCGCATTCTGGCCCTATTCGGACAGCTGCAGCTCCGTGGTCCTGGTCCGCAGAATTTCATGGACCCGGAACAGTTCCGGTAGCCCGCGCTGCTGAATGGAATACGTGATATCATCCGTCGCCAATCCTTTCTCATTTCTGCCCCGCCCAAGTGGGGGAACAGAGCAAACAATCGTTGAGTCGTCCACACCTTTGACTCCATGTGTCAGACATGTGAATGCTTGAGTACCTCACACCGGTTGCTGAAAATCGTTCGATATATAGCGACCCTTTGTATAGTTTTGGTGCGCGAAGTATTAGTCGTCTTCCTGGTTACGGCGAGGGCTTTGTTAAGCATTATCATGTCTGTGGCTATGCAGAGACGGCGTCATCTCTGTACGGGGCAACGGAAGTCGGATCAGATTGTGATAAGCTTCGAGATGTAGCGTAGAATCTTGGCTATTCAAACACTTGAGCTAATGTGATGGATTGAATCCTGATCCAGAATGTCAGAGAAGGTCGAAGCTACATATTTCGCACGTATTATGGATGGATAGGAACACAAAGACTGTCTATTTTTTGGGCAGGGGTTGAAACTCATTCACCCACTGATTCCTCGGCTTGCTCAGAGTGCTCTTACCGCGTCGCAAGAAGTTTCCATATCCCATACTGCTAACGATACCGCTGCCATCGCGGTCCCAAATCACCTTGCCTCGCAGGATGGTGAAGCGCGGCCAGTTATGAAACTTCATCCCCTCGAAAGGAGAGTAGTCGATATCATGATGTAACATCGAATTCTCCAAGACGAACGGCTCTATCTTTGCAGAGTTCGTCCCGCCGTTGGCAGCAACCTGCTCAGCCGTAGGGTACCAAATGACAAAGTCAGCATCATACCCGGCGGCGATCGCACCCTTGGTATCTCCCAATCCATAGAGTTTTGCGGGGTTCGTCGCCGTGACCTCGACAAACTTTTGCGGCGTCACTCTACCTGACAGCACACCACCTTCAAACAGCAATGGCATTCGAGTTTCAACACCGGGAAGCCCATTCGGGACCTGGTCATACCGCATGGAACCATCTTCCTTGCCCAGGCCCGCCTTCTTACCGTCAGGATGATTGTATTTACTCGGCGCGTGGTCTGAACTGAATGTCGTGAATGTCCCGTTGGCGATACCGGCCCACATGGCATCCAAATCCATGCGGTCCTCACGCAACGGCGGACTGCAAATATGTTTCGCACCGGAGAAGCTATCAGTAGCCGGATGAGACGGCTTCAGGGCGTCGGCTGTTAGATAGAGGTAATGGGGACACGTCTCTGCGTGAATGGGCAGAAGCCGCGTCTGCGCCCTCCTGACGTGCGCGGTGGAGGTCTTGGACGACATGTGGACGATGAGGATGGGGATATCAGAGAGCTCAGCGAGGGCGATGATACGGTACGTCGCCTCATCCTCGGCGATATTGGGCCGGCTGATGGCATGGTAGTATGGCGCCGTGAGTTTCTGCTCTGCAAGGCGGGCCGTTATCCAGGTTATCATGTCGCTGTTTTCGGCGTGGACCATGGTTGTCATGCCCAGGTTCCTGGTGGCCATCATGACGTCTAGAATTTCGCCGTCTTTCAGTTGAAGGGGTTCGTAGGTCATGTAAAGCTTCACAGAGGTGATGCCCTCGCTAACAAAGAATGGAAGCTCATCGCGGAGGATAGTTGAGGTTGGATTTGTGAGGATGATATGGAAGCCGTAGTCGCAGTATGACTTTCCCCTGGAGCGTGAGTGATAGTCCTCTACGACTGGGTGAAGAGACTGGTGGGTGCGTTCCTGGGTAGCGAATGCGATGATGGTTGTGGTGCCACCCGCAATTGCTGATCGCGTGCCGGTCTCAAAGTTGTCTCCTGTTGGGGAGTTATCCTGATGCTGTGTTAGACAAGGGGGTTTCTGTTGGAAATTCGAGTGGGAAACCTCTTTACCTGGTCAAGGTGCACATGGGAATCAACGCCGCCCGGCATGACGAAGCCATGTTGCGCATCTATCACTGTCCTGGCCGAAAAAAGAGACTTGAGGTTCTGGCCTACGGCTAGGATTTTGCCGTCTTGGACCACGATATCTTGCCGTGCATGGACATCGGATGCCGTGACCTATGTGTTGTCGTGTCAGTTGTCTGTACGCTCAAGGGTTTCCTGGCCCCATGACGACGCATGCACTCACCACTGTGGCATTCTCGATGATGAGTTCGACCTCCATCTTCTTGTCCAAATTCACAGCGCTGTGCTAACAATATTTTGCGCCTAAGGCTTTTGTGAACCTGGCACGGAGTACTTAGCATTCCCGAGTTGCCCTCGACACGATATAGAGTATCTGCAGAGTCGTTGACGACATCTACACTGGCCGTAAATTTGATAACGCTGCTCCTACGTAGAAGAGATAGGCTTCTATGACACAAAGATAGGCAGGCGCGGCAAACTAACCGACGCCCTATCGCAGCTTATCGCCCGCCACTGGAGCTGGAAGCTGCAGGGAATAGGACGGACGATATTATGCGCTGATCTCAGTGCATGAGGGGTAGACCTAGTACCACTAAGCTGGAGAGAGTCGGAGAAGAGCTCAGCAACTTCTCGTGATGAAAAGCATAAGTTTGGGCTGAAGTAAAGGCAATTGCGTAAAAGAGTGGTGTTGAAAATAGAGCGAGTCGACGACTGCACAAGCAAGTCAGAACTTCAGCAGCAATGCCATCACGAAAGCTCCGCGTGGCTGCGGCCCAGATGGGCGCAACACATTACAACGACCCCCGGCCCAAGACATTGAACCGCATGATATCACTTCTTGAAGCCGCAGCCGCAAAGGGAGCACAACTAGCCCTCTTCCCCGAAGCCGCCTTCACAACCTTCTTCCCCCGACACCTGATCAACGACCCCTCGGAACTTGACTCTTTCTTCGAGCACGGCGATGTAGCGACGCAGCCGCAGACAAAGCCGCTCTTTGATAAGGCCAACCAGCTCGGCGTCGACATCTCGGTCGGCTTTGCCGAAAAAGCCGACAATGGCGAAACCTTCAACTCCTGCATCTACTACCACGCAAAGAGCGGCTCTGTCCTCTCAAAATACCGCAAGATTCATCTCCCTGGTGATTTTGAGCCCTTTGCGGATCCAGATGCCACAAACCAGCTGGAAAAGCGCTACTTCAAGCCCGGTGACCTCGGGTGGAATGCGTTCCGGGTACCCGATCTGACGGAGCCGGATGCGGCACCGGAGCGCGGGGACCCCATCTTCGGCATGATGATCTGCAACGACAGGAGATGGGCCGAGAGCTGGCGCGTCCTGGGTCTGCAGGGCGTCGAGGTCGTGCTCTGTGGCTACAACACAGCCGGCTTCGCGCCGCATCTCTGGGGAACTAGCGCCAGCATGGATCCGGACGAGGCGAGGAACAAGGCCGTCTTCCATCACAAGTTGGTGATGCAGGCTCATAGTTACACGAATGCCTGCTTCAGTATAAGTGCAGCGAGGTGCGGTCTTGACGATGGGAAGTACGACCTGATTGGCGGAAGCTGCATCACAGGACCGGAGGGCGAGGTCATCGCCGAGGCATCTACGACAGAGGATGAGGTCGTCTATGCGGAAATCAACCTGGACGAGTGCCGGCCAGGCAAAGAACGCACATTTGACTTTGCCAGACATCGTCGCGTGGAGCATTACAGTCGCATCACGGAACAGACCGGCGTCGTGGAGCCTCCCAAGCTCACATCTGCCACCGAGCAGAATCACGATAGAGCAGCAAGCAATAGCATCACACCCCGAAAGACTGAAAAGAAGATCCGCATCCTCCTCATCAACCCAAACAGCACCCGCGCCATGACCGACGCCTGCGTCGCAATGGTCGAGAGCCAATTACCCCCAGACGTCCTCGTAACAGGCTTTACGGCGCCCCGGCCGGCGCCCTCAGCCATCGAAGGCAGCTTCGACAACGTAATGTCCGCGGCGGCTGCGGCCCGCGCCGTCCTGCCCCTCGCGGCAACACACGATGCCGTCTTGGTGGCGTGTTACTCTGATCAC